GTCCGACGCGCGCGCGAGAGTTTGGTGGATTAATTTGAACGCGTCGTGGACGCCGTATCACGCGGTGAAGACGTCGCGGGCGCGGCGTGCCCGTGGAAAGATTGTCGGTGTGGACCTGGGTGTAAGTGCGGGGCGAACTGTAGGTGCGGAAGCGTGCGACGGTGAGCGTCGGGGGGACGATCGGGACGATCGCGGATAGGGTCGCGCGGGGCGAACGCGCGAGATGTCGATCGGTGAGGGTGGACGCCGGACGCGGGCGCGAAATCTGTTGCGAAGATGCTTTGGAAAGATGAATCTACCGGTGGTGCTGGTGTCGGTGATCTATGGGTACGTGTACGAGATCACGAAGGCGTACGGGTTCTCGCGCGCGAGCGCGAGCGGGACGAGCGAGCTGATATTCACGCTCACGTCCTTGATCGGGTTCGTGATGTACGCGTGCACGGTCATGAGGGATCCGGGACGAGTGCCCGGGGATTACTCCCCGGCGGTGGAAGAGGGTGAGGCGCTCGTGGAGGCGAAGCGGAAAGGCGGAGGAGCGCGATTTTGTCAAAAGTGCGAGCGGCACAAGCCGCCCCGCACGCACCACTGTCGCGTGTGCAACAGGTGCGTGCTGCGCATGGATCATCACTGCGTCTGGGTCAACAACTGTGTGGGGCACTACAACTATAAGAGTTTCTTCTTGTTCTTGTTTTACGCCACGGTTTCGCTTGTGCAAGCGATGTATCAGCTTGGAATGTACGCGCAGGAAGAGATTTTCGATAGCAAGCTCGGTGTGCATCGCCCCGACAACCAAACGACCATCATCGTTGTGAGCTGCTTCGTCATCACGACCGCGCTCACCATCGCGCTCACCGCGCTCTTCTTGTGGCATGTTCGACTCGTCGTGAACAACAAGACCACAATCGAGCACTATGAGGGCGTGCGGTCGAGGTACAATAACATCCCTTCCGTGGTCGAGCATCCCTACTCGCTAGGACTATTGGCGAACCTGCGCGAGATATTGGGCCGAAATATCGTGCTTTGGCTCCTGCCCGGATGTAAGATCTCGGGAGACGGAACGCGTTTCGCGAACATTTTAGAAATGTCAAAGCAACGCTGGGATCGCACTGTTCGTACGAAGGAGGGCGAGCTCAGCGTGATTTAATCTCAAATCATTCAAGTTTCCTCACAATCCTCACAATCTTCAAACATCGAGCGACGCTCGATCGGGTGCTCACCGTCAGACAGACACTCGCTCGAGCTACCTCACTCGTTGCCTCGCCGAGAAGATGACGTGGACGCTCGTCTTCATCCTCTCCTGCGCCTCCCACGCGGTCGGCGCCTCGGCGGAGCCCGCGAACCTTCCCGGTCTCACCCCAAATCTCCACGCGGTGCGTACGCGTCGCTCGAACCCATCGAAGCGCGAGTAGACTGACGAATTTGTATTCTAATCCATCAGGCGCTCTCCGCGATCGATACCTCGGCGTGCCCCGAAGCACGCTCGGGACATCGACGCGCGAACACGGCGGCGACGAAGTACCTGAAGAATGGCGATCACGACAGGGCGCTCGCGTGCTACGTGGCGGCGCTAAACTCGAAGATGAACTTCCCACCGGCGTATTATGGTTTGGGCGAGACGTTCGCGAAGCGGGCGCCGAACGGGTTCGAACTCGCGCGGGAGAGCTACGAGCTCGCGCTGAAGCACTGGCCGGAGTACATCGACGCAAACATCGCGCTTGGGGATCTTTGGGCGCGCACACGCGGGGATAGATCTCGGGCAGAGGTGTATTTCTTGTCGGCGACGCGGTTGCGGCCGGACGACGCGTTGGCGTGGGAGTCTTTGGCGCAGAATCAGGTGGAGGATGGACGGTTGGACAATGCGCTGAAGACGTACGATGGCGCGATAGAGCGCATTCGTGAGTCGCCGGGTTTGTATTTTGGCCGGGGCACGGTGCATCAGAAGAAGGAGAACTTTCAGGCGTGTGTGAATGATGCAGAGCACGCGTTGAAAATCGCAAGCGAGTTCGGTCAAGCGTATCATTTATTGGCACTGTGCTCGTCCGAAATGATCGGCCCAGACTCGCCGTCGGCCACTGATCTGGAGATGTATTTTCGTCAGGCGATCCGATTCGAGCCAGAGTTTGCAGCGCACTTCTTAGATTTCGCGTGGTTCCTGTACAACGACGGTCGTCTGCGAGAGGCGCGAGACGTGCTCGACAAGGCGCTCGACAATCCGCTGAGCGACGAAGAGCGCACGAAATTCGAGCACGGTGCGAGAGAATTCGAACAGTTCGTCGCACACATGTCAAAGAAGGGAGAGTTGTGAGCGATTCTTAAGTGTCGTGCAAGTTACATCTGTTATTCATTATCACCTATCTCCCTCTGCGCGAGCCAGCACCCCAGTTGCCGCCCTGCGGACGGCCGTAAGGTCCGTCCATCGGATGCGACGGACGATCGTTTGCGCCTCTACTTGGTCCGCCACGTCCGTTGTTTCCTCCGTAGTCATTAGAGTAATCAGGTACGATGTGGGCGAACCTACATGAATCACCATATCTGCACCGCCCCTGTGTGAAATCGTAGCACCGCTCCTTACCGCCTAAGCGAGCGTTAATCCCACCACGCGGTCGATCGTTGCCGCGTCTATCGTCGCGTCTACCACTCTGCCCAGGTCCAAAGCGGCCGTGCACCAAAACTTGTTGCATCGCGTCGAGTGCGCGGTCTCGATTTCTTTTGTCGTGGCTTAAGATGAGCATGAGCTCTCCTTCCTCATTCTCGGGGTCGGGAATATTCATGCAAACTGTCCCACTCATGTTCTCGATGTCTCTCAGCATATTGCCGTCACGTCCAATGAGGCGATTGACCCCGCCCTTTCCACTCTTGACTGGGAAAACAGAGACGTCTTGTCGATCCTTGTACTCAACGTCCGCTGGGGTGTTTCCCTTGGCTGACTTCATAACCCATCTAATGTAGTCCCAGCACCTCGCACGCTCATCGCGATCGCCAGCCATGACACCTAGCATACCTACGTACTCAAACGCAGCTCCTGAAGCCGCTGCGATCCTTTTACGCGTTGATCCCTGCGGAGCGAAAAGTAGAAAAGTTCAGTCTCAGAAGGACTCGTGTCAGACAGGCGAAGAATGTACGGATAGACATGGAAGCTTTCGCTCGCTGGACGGCATACTGGCCCACAGCTGCGAGACAGATAACACCCGCATATTTCACTTGGAGTTTATTTTTCGCACGGAGATAGCTTGAGTGATCGCACATCCGACATGGTTGTGCCCCGGATGGATCTACTCGTCGTGCGTAAAGAAACAAAAAAAATATCGCAATCAAACGAATCGCGTGGCGAAAAGTACTCACTCCGCGCCCAATAGCAAAGCTTAATTCATCCTGGTTCGCGAAAGGAAAAACGTCGAAACCCCAACCGTCGCCCAGTCCGTCGCCCGGCTGCTCGAAACGATTCCTAAGCTTCGTCTCTTCGTTCACGTGCGTCCCTGGTTTCTTTCTCTCGCACGCCGCCATAACGCTCAACTCCGAACCTCTTCTACCCTTTCTCGACCCGACGATAATCAATTTCTCACCCTCGTCCTCGGGATGTGTCGAGCGTGTGGCGAAAAACATGAGCGTTCCGTAATCCGCCTCGATCCGTCGCAACCCGCTACCTTGCGCTCCCGTGACGTACGCCACGCACTCCGGATCCACATCAATCGCGCTCAGATAATCCCTCTCCACGCTCGTGTCCACCACGATCTTCCCCACCCGCTGCTGCAAGACCCACTCGCAGCACTCCCGCGCGAACTTCAGTTTCGCTTCATCCTCCGCTGCGATCTCCAACCTTTGTTTCCCCTCCGCGTCGCCCTCGATCGCGCTGATCTCGATCGACGCCCCCGACACTTTCATGAGCTTTTTCTTCGTCTTCCCTTGCGCCCCGATAAGGAATCGCGCGTCGTCTTGAGAGATCACGAGCGTCTCGGTCGGTCGAACGGGTTTCTCTGCTCGCTCGGTCGTCGCTTCGGCGCTTTGCTTCGCGTCGTCTTCGACGTGCATCGCGCTCGGGCCGGGTTCGGGTTCGGGCGAGCGCTGACGCACGTACTCATCCTCCGCGGCGTCGTTCATCGTCGCGCGGCACGGAGCGCACGACGCGCGCGGCGTGAGGAAGTGGAGAGAATTGAGGGTTCGACGGTTGGGTTTTCAGTGAGACGAGGACGGGAGACGTGTACAATACAGAGCTCTCGAAAGAGCGGCTAGGGTAAAAGAATGCTACAGCGGCGCGAAGAGGACGTGTGAATTTAACCCGTGCAATAAAAATCCATCTCCTCGACGCCCTTGTTGATTTCGTGGGTGCCGACCTCGTCCCAGGGAACGAAGACGAGCGTGCCCATGCCGCGGTTGGTCACACGCGCGGGCGCGGTTCCGTCAAACTTGTGCGAGGTGAATCCCAGGTTTCGTCGGTATATGTGCTCCTCATCGTCCATGGCGAGCCACTCGTCTTCGTCGGGGACGGGGACTTTGGCGTCCTCATCGACCATGGCGATCTTGACCATGTCCATTCGGTTGGACGCTCCGGGCTTGTTTCCGCGCAGTCTGGTCCAAAAGTGTGTCGCACTCAGCGACCCGTTCGCGCCGTATCGAAGCACCTCGCAGTGCACTCTGTCATCACCATCAATCGTGTATCCGCCGTGAAACACGTCGTTCGACCGCGCCAATGCGCCTTGGTCTCTCAGCAGTTTCGCCTCGACGCTGAGCTTTTTCGGAGACGTCTTGCACACGAACTCGCCGTTCCCGAGGAATCGAAAGAATCTGTACCACACCACGAGGTGACAGCTCGCCACAGCGTTTCGCATCGTCAAATCGCACTTGACTCCGGGCTTGATGTACGTGTTCCTGGACACGTACACGCCATCCGTGCGCACTCTCAACCTGTCCCAAAACATCGTTCGCCAGCACCCTCTGTACGCCTTACGACAAATCTCGTGCGTATCCTTCGCGCTCTCGCGGTGGGCGAACGCCTCGACGCAGAAGCCGCGCCAGACGTCCTCTCGCGACCGAACGAAGTCGCGGAACGATACGCACGTCACGGCGAGGCGGGCGAACCATCTCGGGCCCAGTCTGGAGGCGATTTCAGCCACCGTGTTGTCGTCGAGCACGGCGAGGATCTCCGGGATCTCCAGCTCGCGAGCCGGTTTGCGACGATCGAATAGCGCGAGCCACGGTCTGGTGAACATTTGGGCGCTCGCCGTGGGTTGGCGAGGACGAAGTCGGACGTCCGACGCCATGACTCGAGCGCCGGGAGCTCGCGAGTGAGGCGCGTGACGTCGACGAGTGGAGGTTTCGCTGGTGCACGCGACTAGTGTTTAAATTTCAACGAAACGGAGCTACGCTTGCTTCATAGGGTCGAAGCTCTCGAACGCTTGGACGAAGTTGGTGGTCCTCTCGGTCTCTTTGTCCTCGTCTTGCATGCAACTCTGCCAGTTCGCACGCTCGGGAGCCTTTATGAGGTGAGAGATGACCTCTCGACCGAATTGCATCCAATGTTTTTCACCCTTTTCAATACCTCGAATCAAGATGGAGCCATCGGGGAGATGAACGGCGTAGTACTCGCCGTCATCGACGACAGCCTTGATGGCCGTTTGCGCCTCGATCGCGTTCGCCGGCGGATCAAGCTTGGACCAAGAAAAGTCCAATCTCTTCGCCGCTTGATTGAAAATCTTTTCCGAAAGCTCGGCACGATCGACGTCAACGAGTACGCAATTCATGTGGCAGTGGTTTCCGCCCTTGTTGCGAAGCTCCAAGTGTCGCTCAAATATGACGAGCTGCTGATCCTTTGTCTCAGCGTAGCTACGAAGCGCGTCAAAGTAAGCCCACATTTCGCCCGCCGTGCTGGCTGGCAAGTTGGCGAATGACGGCAAGTGCTCGACTGGAACGACTTGGCAGTGCTCGTCGGTGAGACCGCCCTTATCCATGCTCAAGAAGCACTCATTGCCAATACTTGCGACCAAGTGCAAATCCTTCTCGTTGGACAAGCAAAACCAGCATCCCCCCGGCGCTGTGCCCATGGGAGGTAGAGCTCGTTCTCTGGGTTTGCCAGTCTTCATCTCCACGGTAATATCGCGACCGAAGAACGAGGCCTCATTCCGTTCGAGCGCAGCCTGGACGCCCTCAGCGGTTGCAAACGCAATAAAGCAGTATCCTCTACTTTGTCCGTCCGGCTTGCGCGCTAAGTGCACGTCTACCAACTCGCCACACTCGCCGAAATACTCCGAGATAGCGCCTACGTCTGCTTTCCAAGACAAGTTTCTCACATATACCGTCTTGTCTGGTTCTCCCTTGATTTCTCTCGATTGACTTTCACCATCTGCCGCTTTCGGTTTCTTCAGACCGTCTCGCCAATCTGGCTGCACGTTCGCGGCTCGCCGCTTTTGTCCTTGAGCGGCGATATACGGATTCGGACCAGTGTCAGGAGGAATCTTCGTCAATGCCGCTCTATCCATCGTCGAACCTGGCTCGATCTTCAACGCGTGCATCCACTTCTCGCCATCTTCATTGCCTGAGTATGCGATGTTAATGAAACGCGTCACCCACGGCGATTCCATCGCAGCGCTCTTCACGTTAATGTATGGTTCGCGCTCGAAGAAGAAAGGGTGTGATCCCGCGAAGTGATACCTCGGCGCGAGCGTGAGTGCCAACGCTCGTGACACGGGACTACCCGTGGAGCTCGCGCTCTTCGCCTCGCTACCTAGCTCGCGTCCGTGTACGTCCAGCGTTCCCGCTGGCCAATCCCTCGTAATCAACACATCGACGACGTCATTCTCCCCGAGTTTCTCAAAGCTCGCCTTCATGGACGTCACGTCGTCCTCCGTCGTCTCGCCATTTCGCTTCGCAGTTGATTTCCCCAGCGCGCTCGCATCCTCGTACGACAGCACGTCGAACCGCCCCGGCACCGCCGCCACGCGCATTCCCCCGCACAAGTTATACACCCGCGATTCGCTCAAAAAATACACGTTCGGTGCGATCTCGATCACCCCTCGCTCTTTCTCGCCTCTGCCTTCGTTCGTCGCGCTCTCCCTTTCCTTTGCGTACTCCAATCCCCGCTCACCGTCCGCATCGACGAAGTACGTCGGTACCGCGCACTGTTTCTCCCCAGTGACGTACGCCTCCATCGTCTCGCTCGCTTTCTCTCCGTCGTACACGCGTCCGGCGACGAGCACGGCGTCGAACGGGCCGGCTTTTGGGTTCGCGTGCGCGACGGCAACGCGCGCGCACAAGGCGTCGAACGACGCGCGCGCGTCGCCTGCAATGATGACGCGAACCGGCCGTGGTTCATCGTTCGACATTTTCGCGTCGGCGAAGCGCGAGCGCGACGAGAACGTCGCGCGTGAGAGTGCCGGGTTGATCGCGATTGTTCGGTGGCGGCTGCTGTTTTCATGTAGGAATCTGTTGGAAGTTTCAGTGATTGTTGGATGTTGAAATACACGAATTTGTTCGTTTAAGCGAGCCTGGATGCGATCCAATCGAGCGCAGGCTCGATCCACGCGCCCTGGCGGTCGATTTCTTCACCCTCGAAGCCAGGCAGGACGTCGTGGGCGACGCCCACGGTGTCAAGCTGCGCGATGAAATCGCCGAGCTCGTGCGCCGTCTTGTTCCCGGGAAGAAGGGCGATTCTCGGACCACTCTCGTTGAGCTGCGCTTGCACCCACTCGTCGCGCACGATGCGCGTGACATCATAGGCGTGCCAATCTTCATCTTTCGGGAACGCCTCGTTCCACGACCCCCAACTCGCGCCTCGCTTGAGGTCTTCGCTCCCCCACTCTCGCTCTATCGTCTTATACCCACCCAAGATCGGGACGTCCGCGGCGACGACGCAATCGAACGCCGTCGGTCGTCGCATCATCATGCTTAGCACCCCTAGCGCACCCGTGCCGTACCCGAGCAAAGCCAACTTACCCACGTTGTGCGACGCCAAAAAGTGCGGAAGCATCACACGAAGAAAATAACTCTCGTGATTCACCGACGCCGAGTCGTTCAGCCACGTCGGCGAGTTAAACGCGCACTCCACGATAATCGCTTCGTTTTTATCATGCCATTTTTTCTTCGTCGCGCCCGTGGTCATGGACACCTTCCCTTCCCTTGGCCCGAACCCAGTGTCGCCCGGGACGCACACCACCGCCGGGTACGGCTTCCCTCGCTTCCCGTCGTACCCCTTCGGCAGCGTCACCCGGTACCTCGCCGGTGCCACCGCGCGCATCTTAACATCATACTCGTAACTCGATGGAAAGTACGTCCTGTACGGCTCCAACGCGTCGAACCTGCGCCGGCGTCAACGTCTTCGTCAGTCGCTCCGCGACGCGCTTCGACAATTTCGAATCCTCCCTCGCGCGTCCACTACCGTCTTCTTGTTCGTCTCATCGGGCTGTATCGAGAGCTATGAACCATCACGTACCCATCATCGCCGTCGTCGGGGTAGGAATGCGATCGTCCGAGCGAGCTTTGTCCCGGAACGCCCGTCGCTTGCGATTCATCGGCGGCGGCTCGAGCTCGGACGCTCGAAGGCTTTCGCGATCGACGCCCGGTGTGAGCGCGGTTCGGACGACGGTGGATGAGCGAAGATGAGGCGACGATGCCATCGACGAGGGTGCGCGACATGGCGGGCGTCGTGAGAGCGCGCGCGCGGTCGTGTGAGGAGCGCTGTTGCTGAGGGTTGGAGGTGACGGAGCGACGCCGGGTGGACGCGCGGTCGTCGGCTACTACAAGGATCGAGCGGTGCTGGTCTAGAGTTGGAACAATTTACGTCTCTTGGGGATTTTATCTATGACGGCGTCGTCGGAGGTGGCGATGACCACGGAAGCGCCGTCGTCGGAGGTGGCGTTGACGACGGCGACGACGAAGGCGCCGTTTGGCGAGACAACGATGCGGTCGACGCCCACGAGGCTTGCGGATTGGAGCTTTTCGCGCATCACCGGCTCGCTCGGGTTGGTGATGTCGACGACGAGGATGGCACCGATGGACTTCGCGCTGATATACGCGTCGTTCTCGTGCACGCTCACGTCTTTAGCGTCTCGCAACTCCTCATAGATTCCCGGCGACTCGGCGAATCCCAAATTCTTCCCATCGGCGTGAATCCCACTCAAATACTCTGGTGCCCCGTACTGTGTGCTGTTGAATATTGCGAACGTCCCACCGTATACCGGTGAGACGATGTAGGTGAACGTCCGCTCGCTGCTCCCGACGCCCACGCACGATCCGCTCGTCCCCTGCAACCGACTGTCCTTCACGCTCCCGACGAGCTGCAGCGTTCCCGCCGGGGTGTACTTCAACGTCGTCACCCTACGAACTCCCCCACTGAGCACTCTAATAGTCTGCCTCGATGACGGCCCTAACTCCAAAGCGTCTGCGCCGCTGAGCTGAAACGTCGACGCCAAAAGACTCGGCTCCGCCTTCTCGCTCGGATCCAACTTGAGCGCCACCACCCGCGCGTGCGTTCCGCTCGCCACGAACGCCAGCGTATCGTTCACCACGACAACGTCCCTCGGTCGCGCGATTCGGTTAACTCCGGTCAACGCAAACAATCGCTCCGCGCTCTTTCCGTCTGCGCGCACGGCGTAGATCAAGAACGCGTTCGCTCGCGCGCACGTCACCGCCAATCGCGTCCGAGCGTCGTCTCCTAGCCCACGCTTCCCGCTCTCGTACGCGAACACGCTCTCGCACGGCCCGACATCGGAGACGTCCGCTATCGTATTCAGCTCGGGCGCGGCGCCGAGCGCGATCGAGCGCAAGACGTCGCCGCTCGCGACGTACGCGAGCGACGATGCGCGAGCCGCGGGCGCGCCGTTGGAAAACGCCACGCGCCGCGCTCCGGGGGCGCGCATTCCCTCCCCGATCGCGGTGAGCGGGGCGGCGCTCGCGCGCACGATCACCGACAGGGCAATCGTGAGAACGAGCGCGCACGCGGACATCGGTAGAGGCGACGCGAGCGATGGAGTGTTGTTTGAAATCATAGCCGAGCACGCTGTCCTCAGGACAGGGCGACGACGGGGACGTAACGAGCGGTGCGCGAGGCGAAATGACGATATTATATACATTCGAGCGTATCGGAGATCACGGACGGCGCATCTTGTGCACGAGATCGGGTTCTGCGTAGGAGATACCTACGGCGCTCCGGCGTCTCGGTCGAGATTCAAAGGGCGGCGACGGAGCAGTCTTTGAGCATAAAGACATCGACGTCGGTTGTAACGATGGGACGAGGGATATGATCTCGCTCGGTGATTTTGAGCTCGGCGATGGACTGAGACGCATCGCGTCGAGAGAGTTGACTGAGACCTCCGATCGCTCCGGAGAGGCGGGCGGCGTTTGTCGCGGCGGCTTGCGCTTCACTGTGATTCCTTCAAACGAGACCTCGCCGTCGTCGACCGGACGCCGCATCTTCACCTTGAGGCTCGGCTCAGCATAATTTACCGCTTTCATGGCGTGTCTCAACCGTAGCGCGCGACGAGCCGTCTCACCCGCCAGTGGTGAAACGTTCATCTTCATCGATTGGATTGGTCTCGATGCGTCACGTTTCGGCGTCTTCGTTTCTACCACTCTTAGCTCGCTCGCGGCCTCGCTCAGGGTTACCGCGAGCTCTCTCAACGTCTCCGCCGCCTGTTCGAGATCACTGTCTTCGCTCTCTTCACGCTCGTCGTCCACCACTGTTCCGCGCGAATCCTCTTCGCTCGTCGATTCATCGCGCATCGCCCGCGCGCGCGCCAATTCGATCCTCAACTCCGTCGCCTCGTCCCGCGCTCTCCCGAGCTCACGCATCCACCTCAACTTTTCCTCCTCTACCGTCTTCCGCACGATTCCGAGCGCCGTTCGCATCGCCGTCACCTCCGATTCCAACCTCCTCGATCGCGCCTCCGCCTCGCGCGCGTCCCGTCTCAACTGCGCGCGACGTCGCGTCTCATCGCCGTCACCGGCGACGAGCGCGCGCCATCTCTCGTCAGTCCTCGCACGACACACATCTCTCTCCCACGCCCCCCCGACGCGTCCACCATCGCCGCCGCGTCGTGCGTCCAGCGTCTTCGACGACGGTCGACGACGAGTGCCTCGATTCCTCTCGGACCACGCGATGACGCACCTTTCCGTTCGCCCGCGCGAGCTCGGCGTTGACCTCGGCGAATCGCGCGCACAGGTTCGACGTCGTCGATCGCACCGCCGCCGCGGACGGCGCGTCGCGCGCGAGCGACGCGCGCATGGATGCTCGAGCGCGCGCGCCGAGTTTTCACGCTCGAGCACCGACGCGCGCGATGCGTCACGCACCGACGCGCTCGGTCGGTACCGACGCGCGCGCGCGACGACGCGGTGGATACGACGTCGCGCGCGCGCGGGGGGTGCGATCGCGCTCGGGGCGACGGTCGTCGAGAGCGGGGCGAGCGATGCATCGTGCGTTATCCGCGACGTCGACGTCGACGTCGACGCGCGGGCGCGCGGGCGCGCGGGCGCGCGTTCGCCGCCGCGCGGGCGGGCGCGGACGATTTTCGGTCGCGCGCGCGGCGGGTGGACCCGGTGACGGCGACGGCGGCGACGGCCGAGACGGAGAGAAGCCAGGGATGGATTGGGACGGGGCGTGGAAGACATTCAAGAAGGAGTTCGTCGGCGACGACGCGAAGATGCCGAACGATTACGTGGAGTTTAAATCGTCGAATAAAAGGTGCGCGCGCGCGATCGCGAGGCGTCGACGCGGTATTCGCGCGCGATCGAGCGATCGACGCGAGGGGACTGACGCCGAAACCGCGTCGCGCAGACGCGCCCCGGACGCCGAGGCCAAGCGGCAAATCTACGACGACGAGGATCGCGTCCTGAACGTCGCGACGTCACAGAAGACGACCGCTGTAGGTCTCATCGCCGTCGCGTCGCTCCTGTTCGTGTTCGTGTTCGTCATCGGCCCGCCGCCGAGCGACGGGCGCTGCTCGCTCCCGTGGTGCTAACGCGCGTCCCATCTCACCCAACCACGCGCGCGCCGATCGTTGTGTAACGCACTTCGCGTCGTCGCCCCGCACCGCGGTCGCCCCGGCCCCTTCCGCGCGCGCCGTCGCCGCCGTCGATCCCCCAGCGCTGCCGTGGACGGGCGCCATCGAAACGGTCGCACGCGACAAACCAAACACCATATTTTCCCGTACACACCCCAACCGTCCGCGTCAGCGCGCGCGCCCGCCACTTCCGTCGCGTCCTCCGCGTCGCTCGCCCGCGCGACGTCCCGTCGACCGTCAACGCGCGTTCGAGCGCGCGTTCATCGTCCCTCGCGCCCGCTCGGGGGGCGCGCCGCGGTCGAGCGCGTCGGCGCGCGCGCTGATTCCCGCGAAGTGTTGAATCGCGAGGCGGTTGGGGCTCGGTGGACGTGGATTGCTCGGTCGATTCGCTCTCTCGCGACGGCGCGACGTCGGCGTCGAGGGCGTGGACGGGTGTGGGGTCGTGCGCGCGCGCGACGGGGGCGTGGGGCGATCGGTGCGCGCGCGTGGACGCACCGAGGGGCGATGAAGGTGGAGGAGTTACCGATTGGGGTCCCGAGAATCCAAACCGCGCGGCGCGCGCCGCGGGCGGAGGACGCGGCGATGGGTACGTTCGGAAACGGGGCGAGTCCGAGTGAGAGTGAGACCGTGGGGACGCCGGGAACAGGGATGGAGGGGGCGCAGTGGATTGAGCGCTCGCGGATGAGACGAGAGCGTTCGGGGTTGAAGTCGCGGACGGAGTCGAGCGAGACGGACTCGGAGCGGAGCTCGGAGGGCGATAACCTCACGCTGCGCTCGATCGAGCCCAAACCCGTGAACGAAAGGGTGACAAATGTTAAGGCGACCGCGCGGCGACACGACTCTAGGACGTCGGCCTACCGAGGCGTTTCCTTGCTGAGGCAGACAGGGAAGTTCCACGCGCAAATCAACGTGCAGAGAAAGCAACTACATCTCGGGTTCTTTTTCAGCGAAGAGGAAGCGGCCAGAGCGTACGATCGCGCAGCGATATTCAAAGCATCAGTTGAGGGCGGAGCGATCTGCACGAACATGGACATCAACGATTACAAGGATGAGATCCCCATGCTTCAGTCGTTGACGCAGCGGGAACTGCTCGAGTTACTTCACAAGATGAAAGTGAAGAGTAACGAGGCCTCGGCGCCAAATTCCCCGAGGAAGGCTTCAAAGCCGAGGGCTAAGAGTTTGCAGCGCGAATGTCGCACCAGTCACAGTGAACATTCCGAGACGGAACACGTGACCATAAGGGTGGATGCCGCCGAACCGCCTTCCAGTCCTCGTTTTGATGCGCTGAGCACCGCTGTGGGATTTGTGGAGCATAGTCGAGAGCTTAGCGTGGGGAGAATCGCCGCATCGGTTCAAATCATAAGTAATACGTGTCCGACGGTCGTCGATATGCACGTCAGTAAGCGACGAAGAACGAGGATTTGGCCGAGACAAGCGCCCGCAGCCGCTTAAAAGTATTAGCCGCCGCTGTATACGACCGGAGCCTCTCGAGGGATGCACATCCGTCGAGACGGTTGTACGAGTACGATCAATTTTTGGTTCTTTTTTTCTCTTTTGTTTTTTTTTGTTTCGTGCGAGCGATGTGAAGATCGCTCGGGCTAGCATATATTTCGCGCTCGAGATTTCAGAAAGGAGACTCCGAGCTCACGAAGCCAAGCTATGCACACATGTTTTCTTCACGCCTCGCAGCAGCCGCTGTATCGGTACAGTCAGACGAGTTGTATGTACACCACAAAATTTTCAAATCTATAATCACACGAATCCGTCGCTCACTTCTTTCGCTTGGCCGACGTCTTCGCCGCGGCTCCGCGCGCGGCGCGTTTCCCGCCGCCCGCGTCGTCGCCATCGCCATCGTCCCCCTTCTTCTCCGCCAGCGCCGCCCTCAATAAATCTCCAGGTTCGCCCTCGCCTCTCTCCATCGCTTTCGCCGCGTCTTCCACGCTCGGCGCCGCGTTCCGCTCACCCGCGCTCGCCCCTCTGCTCCCGTCGCCCACGCGTCGCCGCGTCTCCTCGATCTTCCCCTCGTACGTCTCCACCCGCTCCAGCTCCTTCCGCACCGCGTGTTTCGAGGGATCAACGCCCAGCGTTCGCAGGTACATCTCGAACAGCGTCGCGATCGCGCGCGCGATCGACAGGTGCGTCTCCGCGCGCTCGAGCGGACGCAGCCGCCGCCGCACCGCGCTCGCTTCCGCCTCGAGCAACGGCGCGAGCGCGCGCTCGATCTCCTCCGCGGACTCGGCGAAGCGCTCGAGCGCGACGCGGGCGTCCACCGGGACCTCGGCTCGGGCGGTCGACGGTCGAGCGCGCGGCATGGGTGACGCGTCGGTCAATGACGGCAGCGCGCGACGCGCACCGACGCTCTCGACGCGGACGCGCGCGCGACGCGTGGACGACGCGACGACGGCGACCGAACGCGCGCGCGCGCGGCGGCGGCGGCGGCGATGACGACGTCGGCGAGCGGGCGAAAGCTGGTGGGGCACGCGAACTTTGTGCGGTGTAATCCTTTGAGCGACGCGTTCGAGTGCGTGGGGTTCGATCACGTGGAGTTTTGGTGCGGGGACGCGACGAATGCGGCGTCGAGATTTGGTGTGGGGCTCGGGATGAGCTTGCGGGCGAAGAGCGACGCGAGCACGGGGAACGGGATCTACGCGTCGTACGCGATGAAGTCGCACGATTTGACCTTCGTCTTCACGGCGCCGTACGGGGACGACGAGAGAGCGGTAGGGTGTGGAGGATCAAGCGTGAACGTACCGCACCCTGGGAACGAGCGAGGGGCGATGATGCGATTTTTTGAGCGACACGGGTTGGCGGCGCGCGCGGTGGGTCTGCGCGTGGGAGACGCGCGCGCGGCATACGAGGAGGCGATGAAACGGGGCGCGAGAGGCGTACTCGAGCCGACGGAGATGCGGCACGAGAAACATGATGGGTGCGTCATGGGCACGCAGATCATCTCAGAAGTCGAGCTCTACGGTGACGTCGTTTTACGATTCGTCAGTCGCGCGGATGGTTTCGACGGCGATTTCTTGTGCAACTACGAGGCGACCAGGGATGTACCCAGCGTTTCGTACGGCCTTAGGAGACTCGATCACGCGGTTGGGAATGTGCACAACTTGCTCGAAACGGTGGATTACATCATGAAGATCACCGGTTTCCACGAGTTTGCCGAGTTCACGGCGGAGGACATCGGCACCATCGACAGCGGGCTGAACAGCATGGTGCTCGCAAATAATAACGAATACGTCCTGTTGCCGGTGAACGAACCCACTTTTGGCACGAAACGAAAGAGCCAAATTCAAACATATCTGGAGCAAAACAACGGTCCGGGACTGCAACATTTGGCGTTGAAGACGGACGACATCTTCACCACAGTGCGGGAAATGCGCAAGTACTCACACATGCACGGCGGTTTTGATTTCCAAGCGCCCGCTAGTGATGATTACTACAAGCATTTGAAGGAGAAAATCGGCGACGCTTTAACTGATGAACAATACGCGCTCGTAGAAGAGCTTGGATTGCTCGTCGATAAGGACGATCAAGGCGTGTTGATTCAAGTCTTCACCAAACCGGTGGGCGACCGTCCAACATTATTTTTAGAAATTATTCAGCGCGTGGGGTGCATGCGCAAGAAAGCTGATACCGACGAGTTGGAACAAGTGGCAGGTTGCGGTGGTTTCGGCAAAGGTAACTTCTCCGAGTTGTTTAAATCCATAGAAGCGTATGAAAAGACGCTGAACATTTAAAAGACCATTCTGATGTAATCGTGCACATCTTTATTTCTTCAAACGCTTTGAATTGCAACAGTCTTGTCTAACTAGTGACGTCGCGGCTAAATGAAAGCGAACGGGTTGTCAGCGCTATATTGCGACGCAGCAGCCGTGGGCTGCGCCGACGTCGTCGGCTGCTGCGGTTGCGCCGGAGATGGCATCGAAAAGCTTGGCTGCGGAGAATCTACGGGCGCAAACGAGAACTCACCGCTCGTCTGCGTTTTCATATCGTCAAACATCATCGCCTGGTGCGCATCGATCGCACTCGTCTGTGGCTGCGAAGCCGGGATGGGGAACACCATCGGGCCGAGATTTACTGGCGTCGGCTCCGGCTGCAGGGTGACCTGGTCTGGTGCAGCGGGTATTGATTGAGCTACCGACGGAGCCTTGACAGCCACCTCTGGAGTTTCTCGCGTGGACATCGATCCAAATAGGTCCGCACTACTCGGCTGTATAGACACCGGTGCGCTAGGAGCCACGGCTTGCTCGATCTTTGGTTTGATCCCGGTCACCGCACCAAACGAAGCGAACGGGTCCTGTTCTTCAGGTTGAGCAGACACTGGTTCGGGTGGTGCTTGCTGAGCCGCTTGCCACGCGCTAGGAGGCTGAAGAGGATTCGCTGGCAGCCCTGGCATTTGCATACCAGGCATGTGCACCGCCTGAGCCGCTGCGGCTTGCGACTGCGTTCCGGGAATTTGCATGCCTGGCATCTGCATACCTTGCGGCAGTATTCCCTGCGGCGGCGCGCCCGGCATCTTCATGCCCTGTGGCGGCATGCTCTGCTGCGAGAGCATGCCGGGCATTTGCACACCAGGCATTTGTATACCAGGCATTTGCATACCAGGCATTTGCATGCCTTGCGGCAGCGGCATAGCAGGCATTTGCATACCTTGCGGCGGCGGCATAGCAGGTATTTGCATACCAGGCGCCTGAATCATCATGCTGTGCATTTGTGGTGGAACCTCAGGCATCCCAGGAAAGCTAGCCTGGGGTTGTTGCGGCGGAACTTGCGGTTTGACTGTCCAAAAGTCTTCTTCCAAAGCTGTGCGAGCCACAGGAGCCGGAGTTGACACTGACTCCGCTGCTTGTGTCTGTACCGGCGTTTCCACAGTCAATCCTCCGAACAGGTCCGATTGTTGAGACTGCATCGGTTGCTGTTGCTGTTGCGGCGTAGGCGCGGGCTGACTTGGCGCCGATCGCACGTAAGACTGCTGCGCAACAGACGGCGGTGGCGCAAATGTTGCAACGCTTGCGTGCGCTTGCGACGCTGTGTGCGCCCCCGCATCAAAAGCGGCCGCGAACGAATCCCAACTTGTACCACCCTCCGATTGCTGCTGCTGCGATTGCTGCGCCGCCGGCGCGTTCTGCGCGGGTGGCGGCGAATTGAACAAACCTCCAAACAAGTCTGGTACCTGCGTAGTCGCTGGCTTGGGTGCGGGAGTTGCCTGCGTCGCCTGGGCCTGCGTCGCGCCCTCCGCGTCGTACCACCGCTTATCCACTAGAACTTCCCTGATCCAAGCCTTACCATTCACCACGTCCCCACACTGCGGCATCGATCTCTTATCGGCGGACCACCGAGCCAAGTACAGTCGTCTCGCTGCTTCGTTACCACTTCTTCGCAGCGCCTCCACCTCGTCTCCCTTGAACGTCGACGCGCTGATGCTCTTAATCCTAAAGCTAAAGTCTCGCATGATCCCCGAGCACCGAGTGCACACAAAGATGCCGAGCGAGACGCACACCGACCGTGGCGCCTGCGAGCAAGCAAAACGCGTAATCTGTCAATCTCCATTTCCTTCGCTCGAATCGTTCCCTCTTCAACGATCGCGCCGAAAACGCGCGTGTGTTCGAACAGAAATGTGTGGCTGTAACGATTCCCGGCGAGTATCGAACGAAGTGCGTTGAGTGAAGCGCATGAGACGAAGATCGCGCGGGATTCGAGCAGCTCAAAGTTTACTCACCAGCGACCCCGGACCGACACATAAGAAGCACGTTTTGTTGCCAGGCTCGCGCGCGAGCGCCGTGAGCTCGCGTTCATTCTTGTCCGCGGACATCACGGCGGAAGCGCGTGACCAGTGGAGACGGACGGACTCCGAGTGCGGTTTTGACTGGGACGCAGCGAGAAGTCTGGCGAGGCGCGACGCAACAACACGTTTAAGAGTTACATTACACCGCGGTATCGTGAAGCTCGCGCTCAGTCGGCGTCGAAATACGCATCTTCGACGTCTTGGTCCATCTCTCGACGCCAGTGCGCGTCCTGCGCCGGATCGTTGTCGACGCGTGCGTAGTCAAAGTTTTCATCCAAGCCGTCGAGAAAGCGCTCGCGCATGACGCGCTCAAACTCGGCGACGCGAGCGACGTACTCGCTCTGTGAGATGAACGCCGTTGAATCTCCTCGATTGGACCCGTACTCGTCGACATCGACGATGAACGTTGGCACCTCCGCCCGCGCGCTCTCCTCACCGCGCTCTGCCACCCGCTCGACCGGCGCCTCGTCATCGTCCTCCCGCACCCGTCCCCACCCCGCGAACATCGCCCTGCGCCACGCCTCATCGCTCATCTTTCTACCCGCGTTCTCTCGCTCGAGCGCGCGCGTCGCGCTCGACGACGCGAACGCGCTCCCGAACCGCTCGCCGCCGCCGCCCGCTCCGTCCGCGTCGCCCTCCATCGTCCTCGCCCGCGCCCGACGCTCGCGATTGCGCTCGCGATTCAGTATCCGCTCCGCCATCGTCCCCGCGTCGTCGTCGTCGTCGTCGTCACCGCTCGCGTCCGCCTCGTCGTCCTCCACGCGCGCTCGAACGCCCACCAACTGTTCGAACAGCGCCGGCGCGCGGCGTCGCATCGCGTCCACGGTGAAGTACCCATGGGCGTCGAGCGTCCAGCGCGCGTGGGCGAGTCGACGATTTCGCGCGCGGGGCGACGCGGCGCGACGCATCGCGCCCGAGCGTCGCGCGCGCGAGCCGCGTCGACGCGACGCGACGCGACGCGCGCGGTCGGTGGCTCGCTTTTGGAGTCTCGAATGTGATGGGACGTGACTCGTCCGTACGTACATGGCGAGTCGTGACTCGTCGTGAAATGGACAGCCGGAGGACAGCCCGCGCGCGCGCCCGACCGCGGTGCGCGACGCGCGATAGATCGACGCGCGACGCGATAGATCGACGGACGCGTCACGACGGGTTCGCGCGCGCGCGGCGGTGACTCGAGCGATCGGTGCGCGGCTGGCGCGGAGACGACGGAGAGAGAACCCGCGGTGGAAGGGGATTTTTTTTGAATTTCTGGATTCAAACGTCAGCGCTCGACGACGACGGGAGCGATGGACGTCCCGGCGGCGCGGCACCGCGTAACGGCGGCGCGAGGACGAATCTCGCGTATCGAGGTGGAGAACTTTAAGTCGTACAAAGGACAGCACGTGATCGGGCCGTTCAAGACGTTTACGAGCGTTATTGGACCAAACGGCAGCGGCAAGTCGAATCTCATGGACGCGATCTCGTTCGTGCTCGGGGTGCGAAGCGCACAGCTGCGAGGGACGACGTTTAAGGATTTGATATATACGGTTGATCTGGCGGACGCGAGCGAGAACCGCAGGAGCGCGCGGGTGACGCTGACGTACGAGCCAGAGGGCGAGCCGGAGGTGGACTTTTCGAGAGTCATCGAACAGAGCGGCGCGACGCACTACCAGATCGATGGCGAGCGCATGACGGTGGATAATTACAACGATCGATTGAAGTCCTACGGTATTCTGGTCAAGGCAAGGAACTTTCTCGTTTACCAAGGGGATATCGAGGCGGTGGCGCAAAAGACGCCGAAGGAGTTGACGATGCTCATCGAACAAATTTCTGGCTCGGATGAGTTGGCGGAAAAGTACTCAATGTGCGAAGAGGCGAAGTCACGAACTGAGGACGAGGCTCATACTAGCTTCACGAAGAAGAAGGCGCTGATGACGCAAAGGAAGCAGATGAAGGAACAGAAGGAAGAGGCGGAGAAGCACTTGGCGCTATTGGAACGACACAAGCAGATGAGGGTCGAAGCCACGCTCTTCAAACTATACCACATCGATGCTGACATTGAACGTGTACGCGACTCAATCAAGAACACTCGCGAGGTTCGTGACGAGCACGTCGCGGCGACTGCGGCATCCACCACACAATACGATACGAAGAAGAAGGAAAAAATGGAAAAGGACAAGTTGCACATGACGTTGGCTCGTAAGATCGAAACCATGAACAAAAAGATCTCTACGCATGCGCCTCGTCTGAATCAGATTAAGGAAGAGCAAACACGTGTACGAAAAAAGCTCGAACTGGGACAGGCTAAGCTCGCCAAGTCAAAGCGCGATGCGAGCGAACAGGCAAAGGAGATAGCCACCATGGAACAACACTTGGCGAGAATCGATGACGCCGAGGCTCTGTTTGATCAGGAGCAAGAACGTCGCCTCAATCAGGATTCCAAATTTGAGTTGACGCCCGAGCAACTTACCGAGTACAACACGAAGAAAATGGAAGCCGGTGCCGCCACGGTAACGTTGAAGACGGAGCGCGACCAACTTGTATCCCAGCTCAGTACGGATGAGGAGGCTGTGACTCGGCTATCGAGCAAGGTTTCCGAGCTTCAGTCTCGACTTTCTTTCCTCGAAGAGCAAGAAGAGCGCGAGACCGATCGTTTGGCGACGATGAATCAGACTGAGACGGTGAACATGGGCGAGCTCCAGAAGATTGAAAAGAAATTGAAGGACGTTGCCGAGGAGAAGCGAACCGTGCGCAGTCGTCAAGAGCTATTGAAGGGCAAGATCGAAGCGCTCAACGCCAAACTCCGTGAAGCAAAGGCCGATCGCAAACAAAACGAGCGCGAAGCCAAGTCAATGGAGGCGATAGCTTCCATGAAGCGCTTGTTTGGTCCCAGCGTGCACGGACGACTTACCGAGCTCATCAAGGTCTCCCAGAAGAAGTACGAGCTCGCCGTCATCACGGTCCTTGGTCGCGAGGCCGACGCCGTTGTGGTAGATGACGCCAAAACTGCAAAAAACTGTATCCAGTACCTGAAGGAGCAGCGTATTCCATCCATGCAGTTCATCCCTCTGAAGGAAATCAAGGTACAGGCCATCAACGAGCGTTTACGTCACCTCGGAGGGAGCGCGCGACTTGTGGTCGACATTCTTCAATTCGACAAATCTCGCGAGCGAGCGATTCTGTTCGCGTGTGGTGATACTGTTGTGTGCGACTCGCATGCAGAGGCGAAAAAACTGGCGTTCGGTGGTGCGCAGCGAATCAAGTGCGTCTCACTGGATGGTACTCTCGTTGACAAGAGCGGTCGTCTCACCGGTGGCTCGTCTGCGGGTCTGACCGAGAAAGCGAACCGATTTAGTCGAGCCGACGTGGAGAGTACTCGGCAAGAAAAGGTCAAATTAGAAGACGAGCTGGCGAAGATGAAGAGCTTGACTACTTTGATGTTGGAAGAGCAGCAAATCATCACCGAGAAGACGACGATTGAAAAAGACACACAGTTCTTGCAAGCCGACATGAAGGCGCTGAAGGGTAAACTTGACAAGTTGGTGCGCGACAAGGATGTGATAGTGAAATCTCTCGAGGAACTCAATCCTTCTCTTGAGAAGTCGAAGAAGGCGAGTGAAGAGGGTTCGGCCAAGGTTGCGGCGCTTGATGAAAAAATCCACGCCATTGTGGATGAAATCTATGCCTCGTTTGTCAAGAAGCTCAAGATCGCGAACATTCGCGTCTACGAGAACGAGCACCTGATGCGCAAACAAAAGCAAGCCGAGGAGAAAGCCAAGTTCTCATCACAGCGCTCGAAATGGCGGGAGCAGTTGAACTATGAGAAGAGTCGTGACACCACCGGTCCAGTTAAGACCAACGAAGGCATGATCGCGAGATACCAAGCTGAACTTGCTGAGCTTGAGACTTCGGTGTCAACCGCAGCAAAGGATCTAGATGAAACGAAAGCAAAACTCGCCGAAATGGCGACCGAGCATCAACAAGCCAAGGCTCAAGCTAAGGCGCTCGAGAGTGAACTCACTGTGCTTCGCACTCATAGCGCGCAGGCGCTTGAGGAAACGGCTCGTCTTGAGAAGCAAATCTCTTCTCACGAGAACGCTATCGTCGCTCAGCTCGAAAACCGGCGCGAAATCGTTCTCGGCGCCTCTATGGAACAGCTCGTGCTTCCAAGAGCGCTTGCGCTCGGTGCCGGTGGAGACCAGGACGCCATGGAAGTTGACGCCGAACCATCCACGACGGATGCGAACGTCGTGCTCGACTATTCAAACTTGTCTAGCGATTTGAAGACGATCGGCAAAGATCAACGTCCTGCCAAAGAAAATGAACTGCGAATCGAGATCGAGCAAAATGCTCTGGAACTTCAGAAGATTGAACCGAACATGAAGGCGCTTGAACAATACGAGCAAATCAAGGAAAAAGAACGGTTGCAAACGTTAGAATTAGAGGCTGCGAAGGATCGAGTGAAGGAAGCGACGGATGCCTTCGAGGAGGTCCGAACTCTTCGTCGATCGATCTTCCTCGAGGCGTTCCAGCACATGGCTGATTCTATCGACGTGCTCTACAAGGAACTGACGCGTAGCTCAAGCCACCCTCTCGGCGGTCAGGCATATTTGAGCCTGGAGAACAACGAAAACCCTTTCTTGCACGGCGTCAACTTCACCGCCATGCCACCGACGAAACGTTTCCGTGAGATGGATCAGCTCTCCGGTGGTGAGAAAACCATCGCCTCCATCGCGCTCCTTTTCTCCATTCACTCGTACAGAAGTGCGCCGTTCTTTGTTCTGGATGAAGTCGACGCCGCTCTGGACAAGGTGAACGTTGAGAAACTCGCGGCGTTTATGGCCGCGCGCTCGCACGGCAAGAATGGAAAGAATGGTACGCAATCCATCGTGATTTCATTGAAGGATTACTTCTACGACAAGGCGGACGCGCTCATTGGTGTCACCCGAGACGTCTCTCAGGCGTGCTCAAAGGTGCTTACGTTCGATCTGACTCGATACGACTAATAAAAGAAACACTCGAGACGACGAGAGAGACGATAGAACGAAAACTTATCACTTGTATACAACTTCGCTAGGATACGCACGAGAATCTCGCTCCTTTCAACTCACGGGAAATCACTTGTTTCGCGCGCGTGGACCACCTTCAACTCGTCGTCGTCCTCCGTCGTGAGCTTATACATCAGGTACGCGATACTTAAACCGAACGCCATCACGATCGCTCCTTGCAGCGCGAGCGGGATCCCTCGTCGTCGTCGCTCATTCGTCAGCAGTCCTGCGTGAGGGGCGAGTGCGAAGTCAGTCGTCGTCCAGATGGACTCATCGCATCGAGCGCTTCGGGAATTCTCCACGCATTTCGTCACCACACGATCGACGAGGGCGACGGAGACGAACGCGCGCGATCTTGACGCACCAGCGTCCTCACTCGGCCTGCTGCCGTACATGCTGGCGCCCGCGTTCGACATATGCGCCGGGGTTGGAGCGAAAGAATGAAGACGACTTTTAGTGTTCAGAAGACTCGCATCGAGCGGACGAGTCGAGTGAGCGGCGTTTTAGACATCGATGGAGCGCGACTTCGGGTGTCTCAGGCGACGGCGCTGGATGTTTTTCGATGAAATTCGTGAATGAATCATAAACATCTACTTGTCGCGGTTGAAGAGACCGCGCATGAACCCGGAGGCTTTGCCGACGACTTGGTTCACCTGCGACTTGGCGGCGATGGAGTTGTACAGGGCGGACTCGAGATCCGCCTGCTCCGGCCGTCGTTGCATCGCCCCAACCTGTTCAAACTCACCGTTTTCCTTGACTAGAATTCTCCAAGGTGATCCCGCGGGGGCGCCGCCCCGCACGCACTTGAACACCGCGCCCTCGAGCGTGGAGCCGAACATCGTGGCTTGAATGCTCAGCGGCAGGAACGAGTACACGACGACGAACGAGTGCGTGAACTCCTCGACGTCGCTCATCGGCTGATCATCGATCCCTTTCTGTTGTCTATCCATCGCGTTCGCCAATCCACCGTCACCGGCGTGCGCCCACTCCACGTTCACTCCGACGACGGGCCGTCCGCTCGCCGCTTTACACTTCTTCATAGCCGCCTCGACGCGATCCGCCGGCACCCCCACCAACGCCACCACGCCCTCCCGCGCGCCAGCCTCGACCACCCCCCACGCATCATCCACGCTCACGCTCTCAAACCTAACCCCCTCGTCCCCACTCGCGATCGCGCACGCCTTCGCGCTTCCGAACACGCACGTCGCGTCGCTCGCCAAATCCCCCAGCGTCCCGACCGCCATCTCCACCATCCCCTCATCGCTCCCATCGCTCACCGGAAGCTCCACCGCGAGGCGCGCCCGCGTCGTCTTCTTCGTCCGTCCGCTCTTTCGTTTCGTACTCCCGCCCTCCCGTCGCTTCATCGTCCCCTCCAGTCCCTTGACGATCGCCAAGTGCGCTTGCTCGTACGCCGCCGTCTTCGATCTCGGTGGATTCGTCTCCGTCTCCCGCGACGCGCGCGCCGACGCCTCGCGCGCGATCGACGCGCGACGCTTTCGCGCGTCGCGCGCGCGCACCGCGGGCGCGGTCACCGCGCGCATCGTCGCGCGCGCGGGCGTGACGAACGCGGCGGTCATCGCGTCCACCGCAGGCTCGGGCGCGATGCGCGCGATGAGCACCGCCGCGCGCGCGCGCGCGAGCGCGCGAACGCGGAGAGATGGTCGACGCCCGGTCGAGCGTCGAGCGACGACGACGCGGGCGACGGAGACGGATGGGCGCGGATCGAGCGCGGATAGTCGGTCGATGGATGAGACGCTTCCGGACGGTCGGGTGAATCGATTCACGACGAAGGAGAGCGGAGAGCGACGGCGGGAGCGGGCGGTGATTGGATTCTGGCAGACGTTCGCGGAGCGAGCGAGCGAGGCGCGAAGGAAGCACTTCGACGGACGGCGGACGACGGATGGGAAGGCGAAGGCGAAGGGACGGTGAGCGGGACGGATTTAAACGAACCTGACTTCACGCGATCGCGCGCGCGGACGCGGGTATTAATATAATAATCACTGCTTGAGTTGGTTTCGTGGATTCTGGGGCGAGCGATCCCAGAGCTTGCTCAGGAGGTCGGCGTATTGCTGCTTGCGCAAGCCGGGCTTTTCGAGCTTCAACTCTGGGAGCTTTTCTGCTTCAAACGCGGCGTACGCCGCCTTGCCGCTCAGAGGCGCGGGTGAGGCCGAGCGCTCGCCGATTGTGAGCGCCTCGAGCGCGGCGTCCATGCCGCTGGCGACGCCGACGTCTTGTTTTCTATTTTCGTTCTCTCGCATCACGATGGCGTCCGTCTCGTCCTCGTCTTGAATCTTTGCCTCGACTTTCTTCGCCGCAAACTTTGCTCGGAGACGCGCCTTAGCGTCCATCTCCTGCCCCTTCATGAGATCGAACTGCGTGACTTTCTTCTTCCCGTCGCGTTTGGTGCCCCACTGCGCCTCCTCGGCCGCGGCTTGTCGACGCGCCTCTTCCTTCGCCGCCGCTTTCGCGTCCGCCGCCGCGGCGTCCGCATCCGCCCGCTGCGCCGCCTTACTCTTCTTCCCATCCCCAGCCGCGGCCCAGTGCGCGTCCTCGGCCTGCTTCTTCTCGCGCTCCGCCTTTTCCGTCGCCGCCGTGAGCTCGCGCTCGGTCTTTTGCGCGCGTCGAACGTTCGCCTGCGTTGAAGACGTCGACGCGCTGTTGGTCAGTCCAGAGCGGTGGTGATGATGGGCAAAGTCTTGCGCGAGAGCGTCGTCGTCGACGACGCGAACGAGCTTTGGGCGCGCGCGAGCGAGGACGAACCGTGGATGGCATGATGCGTGACGTGCGCGCGCGAAAGTTGACGTGTGCGCGCGCGAAACAGTGACGCGGCGTGAGGGTCGACGCGGCGCGCGGCGTGCGACGGCGCGGAGAAGCTCTCCGACGAAACTTGTCTAATTGTATACTACACGTCGCGCACGAGATGCACGAAGCCGAAACGTGTTATCGCGGCTCTATCGTTCACGTTGAAATCACGGCGGCGCATCGCGCATGCTCTCGATCAGCCGCACATCTGCCTCTGCCAACTCCTCCTCAGCCGACTCCATCGAGCCCGGCAAACCGACGCCGCGGCAACAATCCCGAACGACGTACACCTCGTACCCCAACCGCTTCGCGTCTAGCGCAGTGTATTTCACGCAAAAGTCGTACGCCAACCCGATCACGAACACGCGCTCGACGCCCTCGCTTTCGAGGTACGCGCGCAAACCGGTTTCCGTCTTTCTATCGTTTTCAAAAAACGCGCTGTACGAATCCACCTCCCGATCGAACCCCTTTCGCACCACCATCGACCTCGATGGAATCGGAAGACTTTTGTGAAACTCGCACCCCTCGGTGCCCATGACGCAGTGATCCGGCCACAGCGTCTGCTGCCCGTAACTCAATTCCGTCACGTCGTACGGCTTCGCCCCCTCGTGCGCGCTCGCGAAACTCGCGTGTCCACTCGGGTGATAATCCTGCGACAAGATCACGCGCTCGAACGCATCTACGCATCGCGCGCACGACTCCACGATCTCGTCCCCTCCCGGGACCGCGAGCGCGCCGTTCGGCGGCACGAAGTCATTCTGGACGTCGACGACGATCACGCAATCCGTCCCCTTCCGACGCTCCCTCGTCCTCCCCGCGTCGCTCGTGACGAGTCCGAGCGTCGACGCCTCGTGCACGCCTCGCACGGCACCGAGCGCCGGCATCGCGTCCACGCGCGCGCGCGTGTGCGGCGTCGTTCGCGCGCGGTATCTTGACAATTTCACCCGAACGCGATGCGATCGCACGCCGCGCGCGCGAACGACGCCGCACACCTCGACGCGCGCGACCGAATGGCGAGCGCGGCATCGGGCCTGGCCCAAGTGCGGCACCTCGGCGGGAACGTCGGCCGAGACGAGAGCGAAAAGGCGACGAAAGATTACGAGGAGTACTTCGCCGAGGAGGATGACTCCAAGCGCACGGGGAACTACGCGGACGTGGTGAACAAGTACTACGACCTCGCGACGTCGTTTTACGAGTACGGATGGGGGGAGTCGTTTCACTTCGCCCATCGGTACAGGTGGGAGACGCTGCGCGAGTCGATCGCGAGGCACGAGCATTACTTGGCGAGCAAGCTCGGCGTGAAGAAGGGCGATCGCGTGCTGGACGTCGGCTGCGGGGTCGGTGGACCTCTGAGAGAGATCTCGGCGTTCACCGGTGCGGCGGTGACGGGGTTGAATAATAACGCGTTTCAGATCGCGCGAGGGGAGACGCTGAATCGACGAACCGGAAGACACGATCACTGCGGGTTCATCAAGGCGGATTTCATGAACATTCCGTGTGACGATAACTCATTCGACGGGGTGTATCAGATTGAGGCCACTTGTCACGCCCCGGACGCGGTGGGGTGCTACTCTGAGATTTTCCGCGTGCTCAAGCCGGGCGGAGTGTTCGCCTCGTACGAGTGGTGCCTGACGGATGAGTACGACGAGAAGAACCCGGAGCATCGGGCGATCCGACAGGACATCTTGCTCGGCAACGGATTACCGACGGCTAGAACGACGCATGAGGTGTTGGACGCGCTGGAGAAGGCTGGATTTGAAATTATCGAGGAAGAGGACTTGGTGAAGACGGCTGACATTGCTTGGTACGAGCCCATCGATCCGTACCGACGCTGGTCGCCGTTCCGCGATTTCTGGTCCTTCAAAACCACATCTTGGGGTCGCAACATCACCCACTACTTCGTCCTCGCTCTCGAGAAACTGGGTATCGCACCCAAGGGAAGCGTCAACGTGAGCACGTTCTTGAAGAAGGGTGCAGATGCGCTCGTCGCCGGGGGCAAGACGGGCACATACACGACCATGTACTTGACGGTTGCGAGAAAACCGTTGTCGAAATCTGAGCTTAAAGCGGAGCTCAAACGGGCTGCCAGCACGCCACGCAAGCGATGATGAGATACGGAAGTCGCAACCGCGATGCGAAATGTTGTCACGCTCTAGACAATTTGTGAATTTGGAATTTGCGAAATACATAACTTAGTGCGTGCGTGCGGACGTATTAGGCCGTTTCAGGCGCTGCCATCTCTTCTTGGACTTGCTTCGCCTTCATTTGAACGATATCTTCCGCAAACTGTTCAAAATCTTCGGCGCGTTTAGCTTTGAATGAAGCCCTCGCGACAGAGCATTCTTTCAGAGATTTTTCTCGGTTCAACTCGAGAGCATCCATGACCCTCACTCGCTTTTTGGACTCACTTTCAAGAACCTTATCCGCCTCGGAAGTTTGACGCTCGAGCTCGGCGATGACCTTTTCTTGCGCCTTTTTGGCGTTTTCTTCCTTTTCGGCCAAGACTGCGGCGGCGTGCGCCGCTAGCGCATCGGCTTCTTCCTTGGCCTTGCGTTCAGCTTCAGCCTTTGCAGCCTCCACTTGCGCCTTTCGAGCAAGCTCTTCCTTCTTCTTCTCGTTCTTTTCCTTTTCCACCGCGATGCGAGCCTTTTCCGCAGCTTCTTCGGCCTCTTTGGCTTTATATTCGGCCTCCTCCTTCTTCCTGAGAGCTTCTGCAGTCTCGTTTTCCGCCACAAGACGCTCTTGCTCAGACGCCTCAGCTTCGACGAAGTCGACTGTCTTTTCAGTCTCGATGACTTCGACTGGGTCGGGATCTTCGGCCTGATCGCTGATGACGCGTCGTTGTACGGTGCTAGCCTTTTTCTGGGCATCGGTCACCACAGCACACACTTTTTCGACGACGCCGAGGATGGACGTAGCAAAGATACAGTCCTTGTTCATGAAGAGATTATTGAAACGCTCAGCGTATGCCTGAAATTCCGCCTCGGATCTCTCGGTCGCAATAAAGACCGCGTCTCGCGCCTCCTTCAACGCTGCGTTCCAGGCGGCTTTCGCGGTGTTAAACTTGGAGAGTGCGACTGCTTCGACGGGCGCCATCACGTGCTTGTGAGCTTCTTTCTTGTAAGTGGTTTCGGCAGCCGCCAAATTTTTTTCTGCTTGAGTGATGGTCTTCAAAGATTTAACGTACTGATCGGCGTCAGTAGATATGCGCTCAAATTCACAATTCATCTCTTGCTGGAGCTTCTCAATCAATGCCTTGAATTCTTCGACATCTATATCACCGGTGAGCGCCTCAATCTTGTCGTTAAACTCCGCCGCCGCCTTCTTGAGAGCCTTGTATCCATCCACCTTCTTGATCAGAACATCTGCAAAGTCGTTGGGGCGATTCGGCCCAAAAATAGTGCTGATGTACGGAAGGAAGTCTTGTAAGCTAAGCGTGAGCGAGATCGCGTGGCGCTTCATTTCGTCCGTGGCGTTGTTCATCGTCGTGAAAGCTCCCGGAAGATCGGCGCCAGCTCCGCTGACCGTCTTTGCTGCGAGTATCGCCACTTCTTGAGCAGTGTACGTGCGCTTCTTCATCTTTGAGTACGCGACGGAGTTGGCGCGCTCGAAAGTCGCGGCGAAGGCCTTCTCTTGCTCTTCATTCTTGGAGTGACGCTTTTCCTGACATTTCTTCGCATACTTGTCGAGTTCGCCAATGGCGCGCTGGTACAACGGAACGAGAATGTTGTGTTCAACCTTCTTGCTGCCATCCTCGATGGCTTTCTTCGCCTCTTTGAGGGCGTTGTCCATCTCAGCTCGCTTGTTCACAATTTTCTCTTCATCTCTGCTAGTCATCATGGCGTACCGGTAGGCATATTCCGCCTTTTCGTAAGCCTCGTAGACGTGCCAAGTCTCCTCAATCGAATCGATCGCTTCGTCGATGGTATCGAAGAAGGGGCCAGTGATGTACTCAACGTGCTCCTTATGCGCTGCCGACGCATTTTGCACCTGTAACGCCACGGTTCGTAGACGCTTGGCGCAGTTGTCGTTCGCGTGGCAGTGCTTGCTCCAGTGCATCAAGACGCTGTAATCCATCGCCACCGTGGACGCCGCCCACGACTTCCAGAGCGCGTGCTGTTCATACAGCAACTCACGAATAATTTCCAATCGCCGAGCCTTTTCCGCCGTCTCCGCGTCGAACTCGCACTTCACGAGCGCGTACTTCGCCAGCTTCGCCCGCCGCGTCGCCTTCGCCGCCGCCGCCGCGCTCGCCTCCAGCGACGTCGACAGTCCCGCGACCACGGCCTCCGCCGCGTGTCGTCCCTGCTCCACCGCCCGATCCGGGAGCGACAGGCACGCCCCCATCGCCACCGACGTCCACGGATGCGCGCTCGGTCCACGCGCGCGTCCGTCGCTCTACCCGTTCGCGCCCGTCTCTCCACGCGTTCGCACCGTCGCCGCGCACGCGCGCGCCGCGCTCGCTCGCGCGCTCGGTCGCGCGCTCGCTCGCGCGCTCGGTCCCGCGCGCTCGCTCGCGCGCGCGCGTGCGGCGCGGACGATCGCGCGACCGACGACCGCGGCATCATTCGGTGTGGGCCCGTGTCGAGTCATGACTCCAGGGTAGAGGGACTCGAGGACGACCGAGCGACGACGCGCGCGAGGACGACGCGCGCGATGGCGCCCGCGTCGACGACGACGACGACGACGACGACGACGACGACGACGACGACGACGACGACGACGACGACGACGCGAACGCCCAGGCTCGTCCGTCGATGCCCGGCGCGCGCGCGGGACGACGCGCTTGCGCGCGCGGAGTGCGTCGTCGCGCTCGGTGTGCCGGCGCGCGCGACCTCGACCGTGATCGCGTCGCTCAAAACGTGCCCGCCGCTCCCGGAAGAACTGGCGCACGTGAAGCGGGCGCGGAAGTCCGCGGGAGGCGATGGAGGGACCACGGACGTCGTGCTCAAGGCGCGGACGATGGGAGGGGGGGCGAGCGCGCTGGAGGACGCGCGCGGGTGCGAGGCGACGCGGACGGCGGTTCTGGAGCGACACGCGGACGTCGTGCGGGAAGTGGCGTTCGTGAGCGTGCCGAAAGAAGCGCCGAGCGATCGGGAGGAGTGGAAAGCGGCGTGCGAGGTGTGGCCGGTGAGTTTGATGACGTCGACGGAACGCGAGGCGGAGACGGTTACGGAACGTGAGGCGGCGTACTTTTGGAAGTGGACGAAAAGGGCGTGCGCGAGCGCGCCGGTGAACGCGAACGGGGGGTGTGGAAACTGTGCGATCATCGTCGATCCGTCGCGAGACGAAGAAGTGGCGCGAGGGGTGGATGAATCCAGGGCGCACCCTCTGCGACACGCCGCGATGTGCGCGGTGGACCTCGCGGCAAAGCTCGACGTGGAGAAGTATCCGGAGAAGGAACACGTTGAGGCGTTCGTCGAGGCGAGGCGCGTAGAGAAGCTCGAACGCGATAGAGAGCGCGCGGAATTCGGCGATGATAAGAAGCGCAAACGCGAGAAAGCGAGCGGAGCGGCAGTCATCGAATTCATGGGTCGTCCGTACCTGTGCACGGGATACGACGTGTTCCTAGCGCGGGAGCCGTGCGTGATGTGTGCGATGGCACTCGTGCACTCTCGACTTAAGCGTGTGATTTTTGCCGCGCCCGACGACGTGAATGGCGCGCTCAACGGACCGTCGGGCTCGCGCCGACTTCACGGCGTGCAGAGCTTGAATCATCATTATTTAGTGTACTCGTTCGATCTCAACGAGGATGATTTGCGCGCGATTCGCGAAGAAAGTAATTAGCAGAGAGGGTGAGCAATGTTTTAGACATAGGTTGTTGGTATAAAAAGCTAGGCAAAATGCAAAAACGCAATTTAAAGGTCGGTGATGCAACCTTGTGATGCACTCGCAACGAGCTTGCAGTACTTGTAAAGCGTGCCCGACGAAGCCTCCAGCGGCGGTGCTTTCCAGGTCGCGCGACGCTTTTCCCACTCGGCATCGGTTACATCGACAGCGTTCATCGTGCGCTTTTCGGCATCGATTTCGATGATATCCCCATCCTTGATCAAACCGATGTTACCGCCAACTTGCGCCTCCGGAGTGACGTGACCGATGACGAAACCGTGCGAACCACCAGAAAACCGACCGTCAGTAATGAGTGCACAATCCTTGCCGAGACCGGCGCCCATAATAGCGGACGTCGGCGTGAGCATCTCCGGCATACCCGGACCACCCTTTGGCCCTTCGTAGCGAATGACGATGACGCTACCCTTGAAGGATTCCGAGTCCCGCGACAGCGCGTCGAGCATTTCTTCTTCGCTGTCATAGCACTTGGCGAAACCCTTGAAGTACAAGCCTTCCTTGCCCGTAATCTTCGCGACGGAGCCCTCTTGAGCGATGTTACCGTAGAGGCACTGCAAGTGACCAGTCTTCTTGATCGGCGTGCTGACCGGAAGGATGACTTCTTGGCCAGGCGTTAAGTCGGGGCAAATCTCGAGATTTTCGGCTAACGTCTTACCGGTGACGGTCATGCACGAGCCATCGATCATGCCCTCTTTCATCAAATACTTCAACACCGCCGGAGTACCGCCAACCTTGTGCACGTCCTCCATCACGTATTTGCCGGACGGCTTCAAGTCAGCAATGAACGGCGTCTTGTCGGAGACGGCTTGGAAGTCGTCGAGGGTTAACTTGATACCAGCAGAGTGCGCCATAGCGATCAAGTGGAGTACGGCGTTCGTGGAACCGCCGAGAGCGATGACGGTGACCATGGCGTTCTCGAACGCTGCGCGAGTCATGATGTCTCGCGGCTTGAGGTCCAACTCGAGAAGGTTCTTCATGGCGGCGCCTGCCATGAAGCACTCGTCCATCTTGAGCGGATCCTCGGCCGGGATAGAAGAAGAGTATGGCAGCGTCATGCCGAGCGCTTCGATGCAGCTCGCCATGGTGTTGGCGGTATACATGCCGCCGCACGCGCCCGAGCCCGGGCAAGAGTTGCGCACAATGTCCCGACGCTGGTCCTCCGTGATCGCTCCGGTGACGAATTGCCCGTACGATTGGAACGCAGAAACGATGTCGAGCGTATCACCGGTCATTGAAGAAACACCCGGGCGAATAGTACCTCCGTAAATCATCAGTGATGGGCGGTTCAATCGCGCCATGGCCATGATGGTACCCGGCATGTTCTTGTCGCAACCTGGGAGAGAGATGTTCCCGTCGTACCACTGTCCACCCATCACCGTCTCGATCGAATCTGCGATCAAATCACGCGATTGAAGCGAGAAAGACATCCCGGGCGTGCCCATGGAGATACCGTCAGAGACGCCGACGGTGTTGAACTGAAAGCTCACCATGTCCGCCGCCTTGACGCCCTCCGCAACCTTACCGGCGAGGTCGAGCAAGTGCTTGTTGCACGGGTTACCTTGCCACCAAACCGACGAAACACCAATCTATCGAGCGAAAAGCGCGTCGTCTCTCGTCAGTCTCCACCTCTTCTCGCGCGCTGTAGTCAAAAAGCGCGCTCCGTGAAAGCTGTCTGCGCAATCCGTTCTCCTCCCGAGCGCGCCCGCGATTTGTCTTCGCTCGTGATCGCGCCCACCTGCGGCTTGTTCATGTCCGCCTCCGTGAGACCGGTGGCGTACAGCATCGCCTGCGACGCTCCCTGGGACTTGGGCTGGGTGATTTTCCGGCTCCACTTGTTCAGGGCGTTCGCGTCGCCCTCGGGCATGACGACGCCCGGTTGGTGCGCGCGCGCGATCGTGCACGCGCGCTTGGCGTTGGCGAGGGAGTAGCGTCGCGCATCGGTTGATCGAGCGACCGGGGCGGTGCACTGCGCGGCGAGAACCATGTCGTCGGGCGACTGGAAGTGCAGGGCGGGTTGATTGATGAGGGTTTGTTGGAACACAGGGTTTGCGGGACAGTTAGAGCGGAGCGGCGTTACAACGTCGCGGCGGCCATGCGGCCGGTGAGGGAGTCCACGGAGCTCTCCTCGGTCTCGGAGACGAAAGGAAAGACGGCGGGGGAGGTGGGAAGGCGGGCTGTGAGCACCTCGACACCGTCGTCGGTGCATACCATGGTGTGCTCGTATTGCGCGGAGCGAGAACCATCCTTGGTCACTGCGGTCCAACCGTCGGGCCAAGTGACGTCTCGCCATTCGCCGAGGTTGATCATGGGTTCGATCGTGAACGAGTGACCCTTTTTCATCGATCCCGTCGCTTTGTTGTTCGCGTAGTGCGGAACGTTCGGGGCGCAGTGGAAGAGCGTGTTGATGCCGTGACCGCAGTACGTCTTCACGACAGAGCAGTCGTTTGCATTCGCGTGGCTGGTGACGACGTTGCCGATATCGCGGTATCGCGTTCCTGGTTTCACAATATCGATCCCTCGCCACAGGCACTCCAGGGCAACCTTGAGCAAGTGCTTCGATTTCTCATCCACGTCCTCGGGCTTGCCGACAAGAACGGTTTCGTTCAAGTCGCCGTGATAGCCGTAAATATACGCCGTGACGTCAATATTGACGATATCACCCTTCTCCAGGGGGCGAGCGTCGGGGATTCCGTGACAGATTACCTCGTTCACGGAGATGCAACACGATTTCGGGAAGCCGTAGTAGTTCAACGGTGACGGGTAGCCCCCGTGTGCGGTGATGTAGTTGTGGCAAATGCGATCGAGTTCATCGGGAACGACGCCCGGGCGAATTGCTCGAACGACCGCATCGAGCGCACCTCGCGAGACAATACAGCACTTGTGCAGCTGCTTCTTCTCATTTTCGCTCAGCTCGTGCATGACCTGTTGTAGACGAGACTCGGCTTCCGATTTGGGATACGACGTCTCTGCGTAATCCGTCTTCACAACGTCCTCCGGGACCGCGAGCAGACCGCGGAAGTATCGCTCGTCGTGCGAGATTTTCGCCGGTCGTAGATCTCCCGTCCACTTAAAGTGAGGCATCTTCTCCGCGCGATCCATGCCTCGGTCGGTGCAATACAGCCACTGGGTCTCCTTCGTCGGCGCCTCCGGCGTGCTCTTCGGCTTCATCGCCCAAATCGACGGCGCCGCGGGATCGACGACGCGATCATCCATCTCCAACATCCCACCTCGCACGACGGCGAACCGCACGACGTTCGTCGAGCACGGTAGACCGACGCTCAGGACGACGCCGAACTCCTCTTCCCCCGTCGTCCGCGCGCACGCCTCCTCGAACGCTCGCACGTCCTCCTTCGCCAGCCCACACCCGATCGCGCTCTCCACGTCGCTCGCTGAGACCAACCTCGACCGCGTCGCGATCGCTCCAACGCGCTTCTCCGCCGGCGCGTTCGCCTTCGCGCCCATCTCCAGCACGCGCTCGAGCGTCCCGCACGCCGCGAGCGGCGCCTCGAAAAACACCGCCTTCCCCTGCATCTCCCCTGAATCGCCTCGCACCGCCCTCGCGAACGCCTCCGTCGACGCCTCGTCCGCGAACAACGCCCTGGCGAACGCCGCGGCGGCGTCGCGCGCCGCCGTCGCCGCCGCCATCATCTCGCCCGCTCGCGCCGTCATCGCGTCTCACCGCGCGCGCGTCGCGCGTTCCCACGCGCGCGTCCCGCGAGCGACGTCCACCGCGCGAGCGCGCGCGCGCGGACGACGCGTTCGAGCGCGCGCGCGTCCCTCGCGCGCGCCGCGTCGACGGATGCCGCGCGGTGGACGTCACGCGGACCTGGCGTCCCCCCAATGACGAGTCACGACTCGTCACGCCACACCACACCACGCAGATAACGACCGCGCGACGCCCCGCAGGGGGCGACGCGCGACCGACGCCCGACGCCCGCGTCGCCGTCGCGTCGTCCACGATGGCCGTCGCCGCGCGCGCGCGACCGAGCGCGCGCGCGCGCGCGGGACCGCCGGCGCGACGCGGACGACGCGACGGGCGTTTAAAAATGAGAGAATATGCTCTTCGCGCCGTGGGCGACGCGAGCGACACCGACGCGTCGCCCTCGGGCGAGGTCTTCGTCGCGCGCGTGCCCCTGGAGGGATTCGAAGGCGTGTCCACGGCGGCGGCGGCGGTGTTCGGCGCGCGGGGGGCGCGGCGAGCGAGCGACGCGCATTGGATGGTTTTGGTGCGACACGCTGGGGACGACCACGCGAGCGTGTACGATTTTCTGCCGACGTCGCCGAAATCGCCGGCGACGGCGGCGAAATTGTTGGCGGGACGTGAAGTGCGGGGTGAGATTCGATCGAGACGCATGGCGGGGGTGCCGGCGCGCGGAAGGCGGTGCGTGCGGGTGGGGACGACGCGGGTCGGGTTGGGCGGACGCATCGGAATCGAGAGCGCCATCAGCGATTTCCACGCGAGGTGGAACGCCGAGGAGTTGAAGCTCGGGACGAATGACTGCAGGAATCACGCGAAGGAGCTCGCGAAGTGGTTGACGTGCGATTACGGACAGGGTTTGGAGTTCGATGTAGGGGAAAACGGGGATATGACGTGTCGACAAACGGAGGAATTTGCGACCGAGGAAGAGGACGACGTCGTCCCCGAGTTTGTTCCGGAGCCGACGATGCGTCCGCGCTCGACCGTCGCCGCCGCGGCGAGATCAGAACGGAAGGAGAAGAAGCGTCAAAAGAGCAAGGGTGCGAAAAAGTCACCCAAAAAATCCTGAGCTCCCTCTCGCGCGCGCGCGCACGCCGTCGCTGTTTGTTGTGGAAAAGCACAACCCTCATTCGACGCCACACCCCCGCTCGCGATGCGCTCGATCCATCCCTCGGGCGTGCTCCCGTCTGGGAACGCCCTCGACGACCCGACGGAGGCTGCGATCCGTCGAGCCCGTCGCGACGACGGTCTGGGCGACCTTCGCGCGTTGCCCGACGCCTCGCTCCTCGGTCTGCTGGAACTCCTCACCGACAGCGACGACGGCTGCGCTGCGCTGTGCGCGCTCTCGAGGACGAGCCGCGCCATGCGGGCGTTCGCGACACACGATGACCTATGGAAGGCGGCGACGCTGGAGCGATTCGGCGGCGATTTCACGTTCACGAGCGGGAGTTGGATGGCGACGTACGCGGCGGCGGCGGCGGCGGCTGGAGCGAACGAACGCGCGGCGAAACGAGCGAAACGATCGAGCGATTGCGAAACGAGCGCGAGCGTACGGACGGAAATATATAGCGACGTGCTGTACCAGCGGTACATGTGCGCAGGGATGGAGTTGGAGTCGGAGTGGACGGATTCGAGTCGGTCGAACGTCCCGGAGGCAACGCCCTCGATGACACTCGAGGAGTTCAGAGAGCGTTTTGAATCTGTGAATTTGCCGGTCGTGATCCGAGGAGGATGCGCGCACTGGCCCGCAATGAAGAAGTGGTCGCGGGAGTGGTTGTCCGAAAAGTTTGGGAAGACAAAGTTCACGGTGGGTGGGTACGAGATGGCGTTAGATGATTTTTTCGCGGTGAGCGAAGCCCGAGACGATACGCCACTGTATCTTTTCGACCCGAAATTCGGTGAAAAAGCGAGCGAGCTCGCGGGTGATTACGAAGTTCCCGAGTACTTCGCCCAGGATGATTTCTTCAAACTTTTGGGCGACGACAGGCCGCACTTTCGGTGGTTAATTATCGGCCCAGAGCGGAGCGGCTCAATTTGGCATCAGGATCCCAACGCGACGAGCGCGTGGAACGCCGTCGTTAACGGTCGCAAGAAATGGATCTTATTCCCGCCGCACGTCACACCACCCGGTGTACATCCATCGGCGGACGGCGCGGACGTTTCTCAACCCGTATCGCTCGTCGAGTGGTTCATGAACTTTTACGAAGACGAAGATGTCCGTCCTCGGCTCGAGACGGTGTGCGAACCCGGAGACGTTTTGTTCGTCCCGTCCGGATGGTGGCACCTCGCGCTCAATCTCACCGAGTGCGTCGCCATCACGCAAAATTACGTCTCTCTCGCCAACCTTCCCAAGGTTCTCAAATTCCTCGACACCAAGTGCGAAAACTTGATATCCGGCTTGGACCGCGGCGGCAGACGATCCGCGCTCGGCGACGACTTCTCCGCCGCCCTTCGCGCCTCCGCCGATCCCAATCTCATCGCCGCCCTCGACGCCCACGAGCGCGTGCGCACGAACGCATCGTCCAAGAAAGCGTCCGCCTTCGCCCACGCCTTCACGGACGCCACGTCTTCCTCCTTCTCGTTCGCCTTCGATTCGTAGCCAATGTGAACGTGGTCTCGTCGCGAGTTTGCCGACGTCACGTCCCAACGCACGTCCCATCGCACGGCACTCCGCCTCGCGCGCGACCCGGACTCGATCGCGATGTCCAGCGCGCGCGCGCAGACGAAGACGAACGTCCACGGCTCCGTCGCGCGTGGACGCACCGCGCGCGGCGGCCGTCGACGCGTCGTCGCGACACCGAAGAGCTCGAGCGCGCCGACGGATGGTGTCGTCGATTCTATCCCGAGCGCCGACGCCGCGACCGCGACGCGCGAGGCGAGGGAGAGCGAGCGCGCGTGGGATTTGCCTCGGAAACCGTATCGCGCGGGCGACGCGCCGGCGCCGGGGACGTGGTCGCCGACGAATCAGACGATCAAGGATTGGCGGTCGCTGTATCGAAATACGACGCTGAGCGTGACGGGCGACGGCGAAGGGTACGTCTTGGACGAGGCGTGCGTCTCGGGGACGATCCCGAGCGAATTGAAGGGGACGCTGTTTCGTAACGGGCCAGGTTTATTGGAGATTTATGGGAAGAAGTTGAACCAGTTCTTCGACGGCGACGGGTTGGTGTACTCGACGACGTTTCCGGGCGACGGGTCGGTGAAGTTTAAGCACAACTTTGTGGGCACCAAGGGCTTCACCGAGGAGCAGGCGGCGCAGAAGATGATTTACAAGGGCGCATTCGCGATCGGTAATCCAAAGGGCGACGCGCTGTATAACCCGTTTGATTTCGACGTGAAGAATGTGGCCAACACGGGAGTCGTGAACTGGGGCGGCGAGACGTATGCGCTCTGGGAGGGCGGCAAGCCGCACAAGATGCGATCGGATAATTTAAAGACTGTTGCTGAGGTGGAGGAGGTGCTCGGAACAAAGCTTCGCGTGCCTCAAATGGCGGCGCATTACCGGATTTGGGAGGGCGAGAGTGAGGAGGAGAAGCGCCTCATCGCTTTCAGCATCGAGAGCCAGGCGTCGTTCCCGCAAAACGTCAACCGAGCTGCATTTTACGAGTGGGACGCGCAAGGCAATTCCGCGGTGGTGAACAACTTCGACGTTCCCAACGCAACCTTTGGCTTCTTCCACGACTGCCTCGTGACCGAGAACTGGTACTTCCTCTTCCAGAACCCCACGAGTCTAAACCCGCAAAAGCTGTTGACAGAATACATGTTCGCAAAGTGTGCGCTGGCTGAGACGATTTGCATGGTCGACGGCAAGAGTGCCATCCTTCACTGCTTGCCTCGCACCGAGAAAGCGCGTAAGATCGGGCAAAAGGCGATCGAACTCAAGCCGCAATTCTTTTTCCATCACATCAATGCGTTCGAGCGCGACAACGGTGAGATTGTCCTCGATTCCTTGCCGTGGGTCTTCATGGACTTCTCTATGAACTTGGACTCCGTCAACCCGTCGTTTTTCAATGGCGGCTCGAGAGTCGAATACACGCGATTCATCGTCGATCCGGTTCGAGGTAAATGCAAGCAAACGGTGCTCAACAATCGCGTCGGCGAGTTCCCGACGATGAACAACAAATTTGTTGGTCGCAAGCACACGCACGCGTACACCGCCGGGACAGTGGTGAAGGATGACGTCAAGTGGGGTCCGAACCAGTGCTTGGTAAAACACACGACAGATCCGGAGACGGAGGCCCCGGTGAAGGAACAAGTTTGGTACTACGGTGAGCGATGCTTCGTCCAGGAGCCCATCTTTGCTGCTCGCCCGGGAGCGACCACTGAAGACGACGGTTGGATTTTGCAAGTCGTCAACGATGCGGGTGAGGAAACGTCGACGCTACACATTTTCGAGGCTACGGACATCACGAAGGGCCCAATCGCGAGCGTTCTCTTCAAGGACGAGCACTTGCCGCCGGGATTGCATGGCATGTGGTCCGAGGGCACCGTGTACAACTAGTCGAACAAGCAGCGTGTTAAATTGTAAGCTTCCTTAAAATTACCGGTATGTCTACAGTGGCGCGTGGCCTAATATTACGGTTCCTCCGCGTATCGTTCGGGCTTCGGAACGTCGGGCGGGGGTAAAAGACTGTGATTTACGTCAGGTCCGAGCTGCAACGCTCTTGTCCAACATTCTTCGGGTAATATCATCGTGCACATCTCCTCTGAGCACCCGACCAAGCCCTCCATGGACTCTTTCGAGAGCACGTAGCACTCCTTTGTGTGCATCGACTGCTCGATAGTTATATCGTCTCGTCTCTCCAAAATGATCGGCTGCGAGTTCGATGGATTCGCGATGCGTTCGTACTCCGCGACGGTCCAGTGGAACCATCGCATGAGGAAAAGCCTGAGCGTGAGACCGTGCGTGCACAGGATCATGTTCGTATCTTCAGGAAATCGCCCGGCGTCGATATCGCGCACCATATGGTCCGAGAACATTGTGATCCGGTCGTATACGTCGGCCCCACTCTCGCCGTTAGGAAATCGATAAAAGAATCTCCCGAACCGATGCCGCTCACGCTTCTCCGCCTGCTTCGCTTCGTAATCTTGAAAGTTTCCAAAGTCTTGCTCGCGCAACTGCGGCTCCTCTCTGACGCCCAAGATTCTCCTCCCATCGAAAGCTTTCGCGATCCCGATCGCAGTCTCCTTCGATCGACGATACGGCGACAGATAAAAGAACAGCTTGTAATCCTCCCCGGTCTCATCCATCATATCTCTCAGGCGCCGTCCCGTGGTCTCCGCCTGGTTGTGCCCCGTCGCCGTCAACCGAACCTGCGAATCCGGCGTCCTCGTGTACTCGCTCTCGTCCACGTTCCCGAACGACTCCCCGTGTCGAACCAAGACGATCCTCCTCGGTAATCTCCGCGTGCTCGACCCGTACGAGTACGTCGGTTCGCCCACTAAGAAGTGCTGGCCGCTCGAGCAGTCCTCGTTCATGAATTCACTCCGCGCGTTCTCGTCACTCGTCGCGTCGCGCATGAGCGCCTCTCCCGAGGGTACCGACGACCCATCCGATACCGCGCGCGCGATCGCGCGCGATCGTCCGCGACGACGCGCGCGCGTCGTCGCGACGGCGGCGCCCGGCGCGCGCTGCACCGCGCGCATCGACTTCTGTCGTACAATCCATCGCGGTTCCCCATCACGGCGCGACGTCTCCGTAGTGAGGCACCGATCCGCCCGTGTGTGCAAAAACGTGGCGACGATTCCACGTCAGCGCGCGAACGATCGGCTCGAACGCCGCGTCGACGGCACCGCTCGACGCGCGTCGCGAGCGATGATGACGACGACGATGCCGACGCGCGCGATGCCGGCGCGCGCGATGCCGCGTGGGCGGGCGCGCGCGCGCGGGAGTGGACGGATGATCGCGCGCGCGAACGCCGAGCGACAGCGAGACGAAGCGATCGACGACGTCGCGCTCGGGATGGAGCCGTGCCTGGTGGGATGGGCGGATACGGACTCGAACGGAGAGGATGTGTACTGCTGCGAGGAACCGGGCGGGGGCGTGCGATGCGTCAGCGCGGGTGAGAAGGTTGATTGCGCCATCGTTGAGGACGACGAGACGGGCGAGCTCACCGTGGATTGCTCCACGATCAAGCGGGCGGAGTCGTGAGCGGCGCGTTATTTAAGCTGTGTTAAAAGTCGCACAAGTTACGCGCTGCTCGCTTGTAATGTGAGAAAACGCGCGAAATGTATTAATCGATTCGGGACGAGCGGGTCGTCAAACTATCAATGTGTTAAAAAAGGCTGTAGCTACGCGGTGTCTCTCGGCACTCTCACTTCTTCGGGGCAGGACGGGCACTCTTCTTCTTTTTGTCCTCATCCGATTTTCTGATGTCGCGCCTGATCTGACCAATCATGAGCGGTCGCAGAACAAACGCCTGGAAGAGGAAGAGCGGAAGCATCCAAATCTTGTACTTGTTGTTCGGATCAAGCTTCTTGCCAGCCTTCTTGTGATCGTACTCGTAGCTTTCCTTCGCGCATGCCATTTCCACCATCGTGCCTACCATGTCCGTCAACCACGGTCGCTCGTTGACGACCTTCTCCCCCGCAGCGTTCGCCTTGCAACGCGAACCGTTTTCAATGAGTGCAAACGGAAGCGTCAAGTTGGGCATGCCCAAAGTCTGACGGATAGCCTTGCGGTACTGCTCCACGCGCGCGTTCACAAATTCTTCGTACGGTTTACCGTCCGGTGGCGTCGTTTGCGCGTGCGAAAAACCGAGGACGGTGCGTTCCCAGAGCTCCGCGCCAAAGTTTTCAGCCAAGGCGGTGAAAATCGCCCTGTCCGAGTTGTCCACTCTCCACGTGTCCAAACGATCGGTGAAGATGAAAGCGTCCACCTTGCGACCGTTCAGCGCCGCGCGCAGTGCCATAAGCCCCCGCGCGCTGATTGAATCACCGTCGAGTAAGCCCGGGGTATCCAAGACGTTGAGCGTGAAGCCCGCCGCGACGCGTCCCGCCAAGAGCGGACGCGCATTTTCCGGTTGAAACGGCGAGCTTGGCGCCACGCGCTCGTTCAGCAGCGTGTTCACCGTCGAAGACTTCCCCACGCCCTGTTTACCGATGAAAATCACCGTCATCTCGTTCACGTTTCGCTCTCGCAGCTTCCCGAGCGTCTCCAGCAACGCCTGCTGCGTCGCCGCAGGCATGGAGCTCAGCCCCACCCACTCCTTCGGCCCGAGCACGGGTGCCGCCTGCTGCGCCTGCGGTTCCACATCGCGACCTTCCGCCCCTGCGTCATCACGTAATCGTCAGTCATCGAGCGTCGTGAGCGTCGTCCACGGGTTCGAGAACAACCCTCGAGCGAGAGAACCCTAAGAACCCCCGAGCGCGCGTTCGCGATCGCGCCGTTCGCGGTCGCGACGAGCGCGCGAATGGACTCGGTGCGCGCGGTCGAGATCACGCGTCGCACCTTCGCCCTCGCTGGAGACGTATTCGTCTTCGCTGTATTCTTCGTCGCTCATGTCGAGATGAGTCGCGAGGGAAGATGTGTGGGCGAAGGCCTCCGAGACTCCAGACTGGAGGCGCAAAGCGGAGCGGGATCGAAGGCGCGAGAGGCGATGAGAGCGATCGAAAAAGCGAGGGACACGATGCGAGACAATTTGAATCGCGAGCGAGAGCGATGCGATGGATGAACGAGGGCTATGGCGGTGATCCAAGTTCTGTTGGCTCTCAATACACGGCTTCACCGTTCCGAATCGGCGTATTATGGTACAAAATGTGTGCTCACGAGACAATCTCAGTTCGGTAGAGGCATATCAGGTGGAGGCATAGGACCTGGACCATGCTGGGGGGGCATGACGGCCGACATCATGCCGCCGTACATGCTTCCACCGTACATGGACCAAACGCTCGCCGCGCTCGTCATGGGCATGACCATCCCGGGCACCATCGGCGGCATGACGCCGCCCATGTACATCCCCGATTGGACGGGCGGATATTGCTGTTGGTACATCGATGCGATCGCACATTTGGTCGCATTGTGTCGCCCCCAGCTCAATCTGACCCGCTTGGAGCCTATCATACTCCCGTGTAAGTTCTCAATTGCTTCAGTCGCATCTTGACGGTCAAAAAAGTGCACGAACCCGCAGCCCTTCTTCGGGGTCGCCTTGGCGTAAGCAATTTCACCGAACTCTTCAAAGACCACCCGTAAATGTTCTTCCGTGACGTTATGGTCGAGATTACCTATAAATATTGTCGTATTTTGTGGATCCATATCCTCAAAGTCGTGGAACTTCGTAACGTCGATGACGGGCTCTGGCTTGCGTTCGAACGCGTTGCAGACACGCATTTGACGATCAGATGAGCCACATCGCGAGCCTTGAAACGCCGATAGAGCGGTCATGTAGTCTTTCTCTGTTTTGAAGTCAACGAAGCCGTAGCCCTTCGGTCGGAACGTCTTGAGATCAACGACAACCCGAGCGTTGTGTGCAGTAGAGCACTTTGATTTGAAGTGCTCGCATAGAATAGTCTCGTTCACATCGGAGCCAAGATCGCCTACGAAAACGCTGTAATCCGCAGTTTGTACGTTTCCATCGTCCACGATATCGGTTTCATCTTGTATGTCGGCTTCATCTTCCATATCAGCCTCAATTTCTGGGGAGCCTTCAGAACTGCCAGACTCGCTTCTCGGAGCCAGCACGGAGCGAGAGCTTCCTTCGCTTTGCTTTGGCGTTGTCGGCGCGGAATACATTTTGACTGCATCTTCTTTCGTCGTCATCATCTCGTTTACTTGTCGTTCGAACTCGTCGGATGTTTGAGCAGACGCCCCGGACTTCGGCACGGCCCAGTTCAGCGTGTACCCGTGCAGCGTTCCCGGCATTGGCTGCCCGACAAAAGTTTTGAGAGCGAATTCAGCCTCATCGCGAGAGTTGAACTCGATGAAGCCGTATCCCTCGCTCAGGCCGGTCGCTCGGTTTCGAATGAGCTTGACGTGCGCGAGAGATTTCCACACGCTCGAAAAAGCGTAGTACACGTACGCCTCATCCATCCAATACGCCAGGTCCCCGATCCACAGCGTCTTCCTTCTCGAGATCGCGCTCTTCGCCGCGAGCACGGTCAACTTGGCGCGTTCTTCCATCGTCAACCCTCCGTCGTCCGTTTCGCGCGTTCGCCCATCGTTCTCGACCGCCGACCGCACGCTCGGCGTCTCCATTGTGCGTTCGCGTTCGAGCCCTCCGAAACGCCTCCGACGTCCGTCCGTCCCGTCGCTCGCGTTCGCGCTCGACGACGATGAATACGTTTCTTCCACCCTCGCTCTCGTCGCGAAGTCGTCCGCGCGCGCGTCGTTCGATGCCGTCGCGCGCCGCGCGCTCGACGGGATATTCCCATCGATGTCGACGGTTACCGCACGGAATATTCCTCTCGAGACTCTCGACGAGTCGCGACTCGGTCGTAGCGGCGCGTCGAGGGGGTGAAAAACCGGTTCACATCACCAGCGCCCCGCGCGTTTGTGCGCGCGGGCCCGCGACGGGCGCGTTCGCGCGCGACGCGCGACGCGTCGACGGCGCGCGCGCGGAAGGGGGGGGGCGATGTCGACGGCGACCGCGCGTTCGTGCGCGCGGACGACGCGCGGTGGAGAACGTGGGTGGGAGGCGAAACGACGCGTGAAAGCGTCGGGCGAACGGATGTCGACGCGCGTGACGACGACGGACGACGACGTCGTGGTGTGCACGGGCGGGCTCGGCTTCATCGGATCGCACCTGTGCGAAGGTTTGGTCACGCGCGCGCGCGTGGTGGCGGTGGATTCGGTGGACGCGCGCGGGCCGTATCCGGAGAGGCACAAGCGCGCGAACGCGCGCCGGCTCGAGGCGCTCGGCGTGGAGGTTCGGGAGATGGACGTGGCGAGCGACGCGACGGCGTTCGAAACGCTCGTGCGTGATTTAGGGGGGGGTGGACGACGAAGAGTCGCGATCGCGCACTTGGCGGCGCGGTCAGGAGTCGGTTCGGCGAACGAGAATCCGGCGGGCGCGACTCGGGCGAACGTCGAGACGACGGCGGTGGTGATGCGAGCGGCGTCGAGCGCGGGCGTCGCTCGAGTGGTTTTAGCGTCGAGTGGATCCGTGTACGGCGAGGCATCGATGACGGCCGAGGGTGCGCCGCGCGCGAGCGCCGTCGGTGACTCAACAGAGCACCCGAAATCTGCGTACGCCGCGACGAAACGCGGAGCCGAACTCTTGGCTAAGGTGTACGCCGACGGTTATGGTCACGTCCCGGTCGTCGTTGCGAGAATTTTTACCGTATTCGGACCGCGAGGTCGTCCCGACATGGCGGTCTGGCGTTTCATCAAGGCACTCGAGGAGGGGAAACGGCTCACGCGATTTGGAGACGGGAAGAGCACTTGGAGAGATTACGTCTTCATAGACGACGTCGTCGATGCGTTGACGCGAGCGCTCATGAACGATATCGAGGTTCCATTTTCAATCGTGAACGTATCGGGAGGCGCGCCGGTGTATTTATGCGAGGTAATTAAGGCGTGCGAGCGAGCGTGTGAAAAACACGGCGCCGTGGACGAGTCGCCGCCGCGACCGGGCGACGTCGGCGGCACCTTTGGAGATATATCGTGCGCCGAAAGAACGCTCGATGGTTGGCGACCGACGACTTCACTTGCCGACGGTCTCGCTCGCACGGTAAAATGGTGGCGAAGCGCCGACGCGGATGACTATCGCGAGCCGTGACGTCGCGCGCACTTTGCGAATTCCATCAACTACACGCAGACTCTCTTAATACACACCCTAATCGACGCCGCTAAACTTATCCCTCTCTCCACTGATGCGCGCACTCGCAGCACTTATAAAAAACGCTCATCGGCTCATCCGCGCTTCTGATTTGTATCTGCATGAAGTACGCCTCGCCGTGTTCGCACCTCGGGCACGTCGTTGCCGTCTTATCCACGTTCCGCCACGCCTCGTCTCCGCCCAGGACGTCGTCAACCGTCTTCCTCGTCGTCTTCACGCGCTGTCGAACGCCGTCAACGACGTCATAGGCGTACGGACACGCCGCGCACCGAAGTCGGACGCCGCCGCCGCCGCCGCTCGAACTCGTCCCCACCGCGCTCTCGCGCTCGATGAGCAACAGGTTGGCGCACGTCGGGCAAAACGTCAGCATCGTCGCGCGCCTCGAGCGTCGACGTCGACGTCGGTGACGCGAGGCGCGCGCGCGTGTGCGGAGCGGCGAGAAAGGATGAAGACACGCTTCACTTTCTAAATTCATCCTTTGAAAAGCCGCAGTCGACGCCGCGCGGTCGTCGAACGCGTCGGTGGTCGAGGGAGCTCGAACCTGAGTGTGAAGATCGATCGCGAACCGATCGACGCGGTCGTGTGAGGCGCGTGAGGGTGGAAAGAGCCGCTCGGTTCGATTCTGTTGCGCGCGCGTTCGCGCGACGAACATGCGCGGTATTCCGCCGTCGCCGTCGTGGTACAGCGCGCACCTGGCGTGCGCGACGTCCAGGGGAGATATCTTTGCGTACGCGTCGGATAAGGCGATCGTGGCGATCGAGGGCGAGCGTGGGAGGGTGATTTGGAGACGGAATGGAAAAGCGCGAGCGAACGCGCTGTGCGAAGCGCTCGGCGAGTGCGAGGAGAGCGGGGCGCAGAAGCGTGTGTTCGCGTGCGGATGCGCGGATAAGACGATTCGGGTGTTCGATGTTGAGGACGGGAGCGCGCGAGGTGGGGGGCTCTCGGGGGGACATCGACACGAGGTGAGCGCGATTAGCGCGCACGGCATCGGGCGCATCGCGAGCGGGTGTCGGGACGGAACGGTTGCGGTGTGGCGGATCTCGAGTGATGGCTCGGGATCGCTCGAGAGCTCGCATAGGGGTATGGATGGCCCTATCACCGCTATGGCGTCCACGGGGGACGTCATCGCCGTCGGTGGGGCGAACGGGACGGTTTGCGCGCTGGATCCGAGCACGGGTTCGACACATCGCGTCGCCACGAGCGGCTATGGCGAAGTTACGTCCCTGTCGTGGACTCGCACGAGAACTTCGGACGGTCAGACGAAAGAACTCCTAGCTGTCGGAAGCCGAGAGCGACGAGTAACGATCTGGGCGCTGGATGAGGGTAAACTAGTGAACTCGCACGCGCTTCTCCTGCCAAAGCCGACAACGGCGCTGAGCGAGGCACAGCGCGGTCGCGTTTGGGTCGCTGTGGCGTGGACAGACGCGAGCGACGAAACGTTCGCTGAGTTAGTGACTTCGGGACAGGGTGGAGATTTGCTTCTATGGAGGGTGCCGTTGACCTTTGGCGATGGAATTGAAGAGGTGAAACAGGCAAAGACGTTCGGACCGCGAGATGCGGCGCACACCCGCACGGTGTTCACGGTGACCACCGCGGACGACAAGTGTTGGAGCACTAGCTTAGATCGAAAGGTCGCGTGTTGGGATCTGGAGACAATTGAAATGAGGTGGTCATATACCGCTCTGGGTGGATACGTGTACGATTTGACGACGGCTGCAGACGATCCGTTTTCCGTGGCAATTGCATGCGGCGACGGAACGGTGCACGCATGGGATCTTTCGCCCACATTGTCTTGTGACATGGGAGAGTCGGTGTTGTGGAAAGGCATTCCAAATACGAAGGTGACGTCCGTCGCGCGCAAACCAAAGAGCGACGTTGTCGCGTTCGGACTCGACGACGGGCGAGTGGGCTGCTTCGATTCAACCAGCGGAAAATTCGCGTGTTACCCCGAATGTCACGGTGCGTCCGTCCATCAGCTGAAATGGCTTGAGATACGCACCGAGGGTGAAGAGCAGGGAGTGTTTTCGCTCACGAGCCTCGGCGCAGACGGTTCATTAAGACGTTGGTTGGAGACGTTTGAGCCCTCGACGTGCGACACGAAAAAGTCTGGCATCGCAGACGCGCGTAAGTACGGCAAATACTTGGATTTAGCGCAGCTATGCCAAGGAGTGGGTTCGAGCGAAAATAAGTACATCGAAACGTTCGATCAATCACCCGTTGTCGGGCGTTTGGCGTGCGGATGGTCCACCGGCGAGTTGAGCGGTCACGATTTCGGTGAAGTTCTTTGGCAACATCGCGAGCACAGTAAGTCTGTGTCTCGCGTGCGATGGCATCCAGAGTCCGACGATGCATCGAGCCAATATTCATCGTGGCTCGCTTCGTCTTCGACCAGCGGCAGCATCCTGATTCACGGTATCGGTGGTTCCGTCCTTTGCGCGCTTCCGCGGGCATCAGTGCATGACATTGCCTGGTCACCTCGCGCTAACGTTGCGATTTTGGCGTGCGCGCTTCATGGAAGTGTCAAGATATGGAGCGTCGATAAGGTGGCGCACGATTTTAATCTCAGCAACTTGGCTGTTCTGCACGGACACGTCGGAAAAGTGATGTGTGTGAAATTTGCGTATCACGATGACAACATTGTCTTGAGCGGCGGCGATGATAAGACATTTCGCATTTGGAATTATACTGACACGGATCACGCGCCGCGCGATGCCGAAACGTCTGCGATTAAGTTGGGTGCTTCTTTTACGGACGACATTGTCGTTGAGCAACCCAGCAAGGCGCCGAGTGCGAAGAAATCGTCTTCCTCGGTGAAGAGCAAAGCGCCCAAATCGACTGGAATTAGTGGTCCGCTGTTGAAACCTCCACAGGGAGAGAACACGCCGGAGGGCATAGAAGTAGGACGTGCAGCCGTGCTCGCGCTCGCACGACGTGTTTTTAAGGGCGAGGCCACCGATGAAGTCGCCTCAGATACGCTCACGTATGGTCCAAGCGGGACAGCGCTGTACGAAGATACCGACGCAGCAATGGCGCTCCTGTCAAACGAGGCTGAATCGGCCTCCCGAAACGCGAACTCGTTCAAAGACGTCGAACGCGCGGTAGCTTTGCACATATATCAAGGGGATTACGCCCGAGCTGCTCTGACGCTGTTGAAAGCGAGCGATTCGCCGCTGCCGAGTGAATTCATGTCGATTTTCGTTGGCGGCGGTTACGAGGTATGGTCGACAGTCGCCGCAGCGCAGTGCGAAAGACTCGCTGCTGCGGGAGAGTTCCAGCAAGCTGCAATGTTACGGTTGTCATTGCACGACGTTCGAGGAGCGATACGAACTCTCAGACAGGGCGGGATGATTCGTGACGCCGCGGCGCTCGCTGCTGCCAGACTCCTACCAACAGATGAACTTCTGCTCGAGACGAGACACGAGCTCGCCGCCGCCGAAGAAACGCGCGGAGGCATGGAGGCAGCGGCGAAGACACATATTTCCCTCGGCAATGCGGCCGCCGCCGTGCGCGCTCTGATGAGACCTGAGGTCGGCGGAGCACTCGCCGCCGCCAAACTCGCCCTCATGTGCAACCTCACTGGTCCGCAGGAGAGACGCACTGTGGTTCGCGCTGCGATCGAGCTCGCCGAGAAAGACAACTACACCGATGCCATGGACCTTCTCAGCGAGCTCTCCGATATCTTACGACGCGATGGACATGACGTGGACGTCACCGCGGCTGTCATCGGCACCGCCAACGCGCCTGAAGTCGCCGCCGAGCTCGCTCGACGCCTCGCCGTCGCATCCATCTAGCCACGTAGCGCACATTCGTCAACACAAACTCACAAATCCGATTTATCCATAGTCGACGCCGACGACGGATCCTGTCTCGCGCGTCTCGTACGCTCGACTTCCAACTGTCGCGCGCGCGCGCGGTCCACGCGCGTCGCCGCACTTTCCCACGCCCGCCTCGATCGCGCGCGCGCTCGTCCGCGAACAAACCGCGATCGTTCCGTCGATTCTCCCGCGATCGCGCGCGCATCGCGTCGAACAGTCGTCGAGACGGTACGTTCGTCCCGATGCGCTTGACCTCGCAGCGCTTCGCTGGCGCCGAGCTCCTGGACGACGCTCTGCGCGATGCGGCGTCCACGCGCGATGTGGCGCTTTTTCACGCGCACGTCGCCGACCTCGAGACGTTACACGCGCGCGCGGTCGAGGAGGGGACGTGGGCGGAGACGTCGGCGGCGGCGAGGTGCCTGAAAACCATCACGGCGGGCTTCGCGTTGAACGCGCGCGATGTCGATCGCGCGTTCGAGCTCGCGGAGTCGTTCGCGCGGCACTGCATCGGGGTGGACGACGACGCGGCATGCGACTGGTGCTCAGCGGCGCTGGCGCTGGTGGATAGGTTTGGAGAGGACGTAAGCGGTGCGCGTGTAGCTTGGGCTTTGGCGTTCGCGACGGTGGAGTCGTTCATCAAGGGAGACGCGACGGGATATCAGGGGTTCGGATCGGTGAGCGGATCTCGTTTGGCGTACGTCAAGGTGGTGCGAAAGAGTAGGCGGTTTTTTGAGGATGGATCGGCGAGAGCGATTTGGGCGCGAGTCGCCGACCAATGCCGAGAGACGGAGCACAACAAGTGCTTTGAGGGAATAGGTTTACTCCAGCTGTTCATGCCGTGCATGAAAATGTCACAGGACAATGATGATGCGACATTTTTCGTGGAGATGATGCGAGGAGAGTGGCGATCTCTCTCGCGCGCGCTTGGGTCGAGCACCTTCTGGATGAGCTCGTGGATGTCGATATTTTCTCAATTGGCAAAGCATGACATCAGACAAGAGATTGAGTGGAGCGATTTGTACAATGACATTTTCACGACGACTCTGAAAGCCATGGAGCTGCCGATTGGTGGTATCGAGGGCCGACACTCGTTCGGACGGAAGATGAGCTACAGAACTGCGATGACTTTCGGCTCTTCTGTTGAACCGCCGAGACGCATGCGATCGTTGTCAAAATTTTTTATTTATCGCGCGATGATTGACAGCACCGTCGTCGATGCGATCGAAAAGGTTGTCGATTACATCGAACATTTCTATCATCCGAGTAGCAGTGGATCATTCATTGGGCTGCTCGCGCACTTTCTGAGATACAACATCAAGTACATGAACAAGTTCCTAGGCGATGAGAATAGACGGGCTCCGCCTGACGTCCTCTCTCGGCTCGTTACATCGTACAAACGATTAACTGATAGGGCGTTATTTTCAAAATCTTCGGATCTTCGTCGATACGCCAACGTTGGGGTCGGTCGATTAGCGTACATCGATCCTGGACAGATATTACCCGGAGTCATGTCGCGTTTTGAAGACGCATTGGCGCACGAGACGGCCACGCGTCAACTGGTACCAGCTCTCAACTGTCTGACAATTTGCGTTCGACCGATGATGTTACTCCCCGCGAACACCGTGTATGAAGGTCCAGACGAGTCTTACGTAAATATCAGTGAATTTCTTGCGTCTGCGATGAATGCCTCTATTCCTGGCATTGATGTGAACGATTCATTGAAAACATGTGCCACTTTGAGATTCTTTTCCATGGTTATCATGAATCTCCCGCGCTTGATAGATGCGGGAGAACCAGGCGCGGTCTCACACGTTCAAATTTTATGGTCGGACTGGACAATACAATTTCTGGCACGATTATTTGTCTTGTTTGAGCATCTACAACCAGATACGCACGGAAGCAAGTCAGACGCCGCGGATGCCTTTAAAGGAGCCGCGCGAGAAGCTTCCGGATTTTTGCTATCTGCATCATCCATGTATAGACCCCTCCTTCGAATGCTCTTTACGAGACTCGATCCGAGCATTGCACGCGTTGCCATCAGGAGAGTTGCAGCATTTATACGCGAGAACATGTTCCCAGAAGTCTGCGAAGAGATTGCGATTCTGGTGCAGGCAACGATGCTTGCTGATCCTGAGCTAGCGTATGAGGAGATCATCAGGCCGATGCTGAAGACTTTGGATGACGAACTTATCGTCGACGGTCCGCTATCGACGACGACAGAATCGCGGATTTTCTGGTGTACCGGCATCGTGACCAAATGCGCCGTGATGAATCGGGATATCACTTTTCGACTTGTCGACGATTTCAAGCGTTTGGCGCAAAAAGTGTTCAAATTGGGGGAGAAGCATCATAATTTGGATGTGTTGTCTTACGCTGAACTGATGATCACTACTCTTCTGCAAGGTCTGACAACTGTGGAGGCGATGGACCAATACAAGGACGAGGTTGATGGAGATTCTGTAACCAACTGGGTCTGTTTGAAATGGAATGCGGACGATAGCGGACAAGTTATTGGCGATCAGCACTTACCGTCACCCTTTGAGTGGAGGTTGCCAAACGAGGCCGTGCTGGAGGTCACAAGAAAAATCATTGATGAATTTCTTCTCGCACCAGCAAACGAGCTGCTCGAGGCACCAGGTGAAGATTCCATGGATTGTGAAGACGACCCTTCATCGGCAAAGGATATGATCAGGACGAAAGTCTCTATGCTCTACGCGGTGTTGAATGGTCTGGAAGAGAAGTTGCAAGATTTTGAAGAAGATGATCCGTTGCTAATCACTGGACATGTCAAGTTGTTCCCTGATGTCGCTCCGAGAGCCTTGGTGGCGCGCGCGCTAGTGGCTGCGATTCAAAAGACGAGCTCAGATGATACTGAGACCCTGAATTTGATCTGTTCGGCCGCAGAATCGACGTTAAATCCATCTTACAGGGCCTTCATGTCTCAGAAGAAGAGTCTCACATCGTTGAATTCTACGGCGTTTTACTTCACCCAGCCACGGCGAAATGGAACACAGAGCAGGTATCCGAGGTGGTTTATCGCAGAGAAAGTCATGCTCGGCGCAATTTGGCGCAACACAGGGTCATCATTACTTTCTAGATCGTCTCCATCATTTCATGCGGCCGGATCATCCGATCCTGATCGAGCCGCCTTAGTCGCGGCAGTCGAAGACTTGTCCCTGAGCAAGTATGCAAGCGTTCGATCAGGAGCTCTTCCCATGATCCAGGCGCTATCCGCGAGGTTTCCGAGAGATGCTGTACCTTTCGTAGAAAAGTCGACGCGAGCACTCGCGACTGGCGAAAAAGACGAAGACAAGTGCATCGCTGCTTGCGATGCGCTGCAAAATCATTTCGCGCTTGGCCAGACTCTGCGCCGAGAACAGATTTTTGTGCCGTTTATCGAGGCGCTACTGGGGAGCTCGCATCACGGCACAGACAAAGCGCAGAACTCAATCGGTTCATTGTTCTTGTGTTTAGCCCTCATGTTCTCCCGCGGTTTGTTTCATCCGGTGCCGCGAGCCAGCCTGTTGCCTCTGAAGGAGCGCATGATTTTATCACTAAAAGAGAGATGTGATTTACACTGGAGCTACGAAATGATGACCAACGCCATCACCGTCTTTTTCATAGATCCGCATGATGATGCGTCATTCTTGTCCACCGCAAGTGAGATTTTCATGGCAAGTGTAGTTGGTGATCTCAAGGTAGTGAGATTCCCAGCAATGTGCGCGTTACTCATGATGAGTCGATACGAGTGCTTTGAATCCAGCTGCGCGCCACAACTGAAGCAAGTGATGAGCGCCAAACCTGAGGAAACGTTTAAACAAATTTTGACAAATTTTGCGATAGCGCACTCATCTATCGAGAGCGGCGAGGGACGTGGTAGATCGCATGGGAAGTCCGATATGCTGATGCAAGCAGCAGAGTCACTGTATGGATTCGCAAATGAAATGGCTGGTCCTGAGTGGCCAAATTCTCGCGCAGCTGATATTATGACCTCTACTGGGGCGTTCATCGTTGCCGTAGCGAGATTTTGGAAAATACTTGCTCAGATTTCTCCCGCGGATGTGGCTGTTGGTGTCCGAGCGACGATCAGAGAACATGGAGAGATCCGTGAGAGAAGCATGCGCTGCGCACTTGCTGAAGCGCTAGCTGGGGTACTGGCCTCGCGATGCCTTTCGGAGAATGATAGGGCTTGGATGCACGAGACATTTTTCAAGTATGCTTTGGATGCACCTCCCGAACAGCGAGAAGAGTGGCTCAAAGGAGCGGCGTTTTGCACCGATAGTGGCGGAAATATTTCCGATGACCTTCTTCGGCATCTGTCATCTATTCAAGTGAGCACCATGGCACAGCTGGGCAGAAGTCTTGAAATTACTCGAGTCTGTGTTGCACAACTCTGGAGAACGAGTGAAAGCGACGATATAAAGCTTGCGTTACTCGAGCTTCTTGCTGATCCGATGAGCTCGCCGCTCTCAAACGATAGTCGTCTAGTGCGTGAAAGCGCCGCTCAACTCGCAGCAACTTTGCTCGCGGATCGTCACGAAGCACTCAGCGCTGCACGAGCGAAGCTCATTCTCTTACTAACGGCAGACATTGAAAACATCACCGTGTGCGCTTTAGCGTCAGATCCGGCACATCCTGATCCAACGCTCGTAGCCTCTCGAAATGCTCTTGAGGGTATCTTTTATACTTTCCTCGAGATGTGCCGTCGAGGCGATATTCTGGAGGTCGCATCATGCGTCCCGGTTATCGTTCGAGCAGCGCTGCGCACGGCAGAAGCTAAAGACAAAGAGTTTGCAATGGTTGCTAAGCTCACGGGAGCGTACTTAAAATATCCTCGATTCAGTCAGACTGATTTGCAAGCTTTCACTGGAATTCTTCAGTTGACCCTGTGCGACGCAAATTGGCACACACGCGCCGCCACACTTCGTTACATTCAGGCGTTGATTTACCATCACGCGTTTACGATTGAATCCAGTTTATTTGTTGCTTTACGTGCTGGCGTCATCGAGTGTCTGAAGGATAGGCAGTTAGAAGTGGCGCAGTTGGCTTCCCAAACTTTGATGATTTTCTTCAAGGGAATCGGTCTAGCGGATGCCTCGACGTTACGCTCTCAATTTCTTGAGGTCGTCGTGATGCGTCTGCCTCGCGACGCCACGCAGGAGGCCATCGCGTTCAAACACGCCGCCGTGTTGGGTTTATCGGCATGCGTGCTCTCTCACCCGTACGATGTTCCAAGTTGGATGCCCGAAGCAATGGAAGCTCTCAGTTTCGCCGCGTTGGAACCGTCCCTGATCAAGCAAACAACACAGCGGACGTTTGCAGAATTCAAAAAGACGCATCAAGACACCTGGTCTCAAACCAGGGCCGCCTTCACGCACGAGCAGTGGGAAAACATCACATTAGGCTTAGATCTCGCACCGAGTTACATCATCTAGACAGTACCCCGGTAGCTGTAATTTTTCATCCAGATGCGCGCACATTGAGTGAGACAGCGAGAGAAACGCGCGCGCGCGCCACTCCGCGGCGCTCGATATGACAGACTCTCCCTCGAGAGACACGCGTCAAAAACCCGAACTCATCGACGAACGTTCTGGCGCCTCTGCAGCCGGAACGGTGACATTTCACGGGACCGTGTCGTCGCAGCAATCAACCGGGCACCATCCGCATCCCACGCCTGCGACGCAGCGCGACGGCGTTGCAGTGTGCTTGCAGTGCACGAGTTTCTTCAGCCCCACCGCTTCAGGACAAACCATATGTTCAACATGCTCTTCTTGGTCGTCACCGGCGCTAGCGCAACAGACCGAGCGGCAGGGTCTCATCCTTTGTCCAGGGTGCAGGGGAATCCTGGTCAGACCAAGAGCTCCTCATGCGATAGCCATGTGCGGGCAGTGCCAGACAATGCTCAAACTTCCCGAACACGTCGATGAACATCACACGCATCACGCTCCGGGATACGGCGAGCGATTCGAGTCGTCGGCTTACGGAATAGCCGCGGCGAGATCACACGGGATGCGCGCGCCACCAGGATTTGTGCCGCATCCTATGACGACGCCACCAATCCAAAACGTTGTCGCGTGCATATGTCCGGGGTGCTCAGCAGTGGTACAAGCGCCACTATCGGCGCCAATCTGCAAGTGCGGGAACTGCGGGCAATTCATGACGGTTCCGTCGCAGATGTGATGCGCTTACGCGACGCAGACGTGATGAAATATATGTTGTGATGGCGTCGCTGATGGGAGGGCTCGATCGGCGATTTTCCATCGTGTTTCGGTTTAAATGGAGCAATATGATGTGTTAAATCGCGTCTGATGAGGTCATCAGCACGAGACGGCGCGCGCGTCAAAAGGAGGTCGTTTCGCCCGTCATGGATTTAGTGTTATGTCTTATTCGCTTCGGAAACGTACATTCTAGCCCTTCTGAGCGAGCGCCATCGACTCTTTGAAGCTTCGAGCCAGGCGGATCGATCGCTCACCCACAGCGATCGATACCGACGCGCCTCAGCCGCGCGCGTGTACTCGCGCGCCGGATGTTGGATGTCGAACGCGCGATCACGCTGCGCTCGCTGTGTCACACTGCGGTCGCGCTGTTTCGACGTCGCTTCCCGTCGCTTCGCGTGCGTGGCGCTCGGTGTCGCGTTGGGTCGCGGCGCCATCAAAGCGAGCACCTCAGACTGCGCTGAGTGCCCGTCGTAGCCGAATAAACATCGCTCAAAATCCCCACGCGGTGGTTGACGGGTGATCGAGTACAGCTTATCCATGTCACCGCTTGCCTCGCACGAGATGATCCAGGCGAGGAGCGGATCCATGGCGATGATCGAGCGGCGGTTTGTGTCGCGTGCGCGTCGCGTCAATGCCGCAAATCGATGGGAACGATCGAGCGACAAGTTGAATAGAATGTTTAAGGTATTGAACACGATTCGCGATCGAAACGATTTACGCGCCGAGAGCGAGTGTGAGCTCAGCCTCGCAAGCGAGCTCATCGCCGACGAAGCACTGACCCTTCATCTTGGCGATGCCAAAACGCTTGTTAAGCTTGGTGAGGACAACCTTCATCACGAGCGTATCGCCCGGAACGACGGGTCGGCGGAACTTGACGCCATCGATGCCAGCGAAGAAGAATTCCTTTTGCGTACCACCCGAACCTACATCAACGCGTCGATGGATCGTTTCGTCAGTCATTCAATCCTCCTGCTCTCTCTCCCTCACTATCGATTTCAAACCTGATTTTGCTCGCACCGCGACGCGTCACGCACCCTTTTCACCCGGTTCGAGCATCACTAACCCGCCGACCTGCGCCATGGCCTCAACCATCAAAACACCCGGCATGATCGGTCGCTGCGGAAAATGTCCCGGGAAGAAGTTATCGTTGATGGTAACGTTCTTCATCCCGATGGCGTACTTTCCGACCTCGATCTCCACCACGCGATCGACCAACAAGAACGGGTATCGATGCGGGAGCAGATCCATGACCTGACCGATGTCCATGGCTGCTGGCAGATTCTTTCCCATGCCCTTGGCGGGCGAGCCGGGCTCTTCGCCGGCGTCGGCGCGCACGACGACGCGCGATCGGGCGAGAGGTTTGTTTTGCGACTTGACGCGAGTTTTTTGCGACGCGCGCGCGTTGGGAGCGACGCGGGACGCGTTGGCTTGACAGGAGGCTTGAGCGAACATGTTAAGTGGTTCGGCGAGCGAGGCGGTCCGCGAGCGGCGGGCTGTGACGAGCGAGGCGGTGGGAAGCCAGCTTAGGAAGAGGGCAACTGGCCACAGGATAACAGAATCGAAGCGCGCTGAGTCGGCGAGCGTGAAGTGATTTGCGCAAGGCTGGTGAGGGACGAATCGGAGGCGTTGAATGGATCGATCGAAGGGATATGGTGAATCAATGACATTGCAGAGTTTGAGGACTAGTACACGAAGGGAATGAGGCGGTACTTGACGAGTTGGCAGTATCGCGTCCAGTCGGCTCCGTACTTTTTCTCGCACGCTTCGCCGTCTCTGCCATCTCTGTGCACGAGGAGGATGCCAAAGTAGATGACGTAGAAGTACGGGGCGAGGTGAGAGAATCCGCACGGGAGACACCACGCCCAGGCCATGATCCAGTCGCCGAGGTAGTTGACGTGGCGACAGATTCCCCACCAACCGCTGACAATGAGCTTGGTGCCACGCTTGGTCTGAAGCGTCTTCAGGTGCGACACCCTCGGGTCGTTCGGGTTAGTCCTGAACAAGTTCTTCTGAGAGTTAGAGCCACGGAAAATCCAGTATCCCACGCACTGCACCACGAGGATGGCGAGAACGTGCGCGTTAGATATTCTCACCGAGTGCTCAAGGATGTACCGGCACTGCAGCGAGTACGTAAACGGCACCCATACTAAGTCTCCGAACGCAAGCATGAAACCGAAACCATCGGTGGTGATGTCCATTGTGGTCAAAATCGCTGGTTCATTCCACAAAGCGTCAATAACATACGCCCCTTGGAAGACGCACACCAAAACCATCGGCGCAGTGACGGTGCCAATTCGAGCGTACTGCTTCGCGGCAAAACCTAAGTCTAACAACAACCAACCGATTAATCCGGGCGTCAACTCGCAGAAAACCTTCAAATCGAACGCCCCGTTCATGATTCTTGGATTGAGCTCGCGTCCGATGAAGAAATCGTACACTGCGTTCCCGCTGTCGCCGCCCGCTGCGAGCATCTTGCCTCGTCCGAACGAGCTCGCGTACAAATACGTCGACAGCACGTATGCGAACACCACCATCGCCGTAAGCATGGATAAGAACTCATCGTGTACACTCGCGAGATCTACCACGTTCGCTCTCGTGCCGAAGACTACCACCGCCATTGTCACGACGAACACTCGAAACCCGTTGAGCTTATACCGCAGGCGTGTCCCGTCCGGTAGCGTCACGCCCTCCTTCACCGCACCAGGGATCAAGACATGCATCATCACTGTGAATGCCATCCAACCGAGCGCGTACACCGTCCCTCGCGCGCTCGCGAGCGGCATGTGCGACGGGAACCCCGGGAGAGCCTTCGCGCCCTCGCGCGCGAGCCGCCCGACCTCGACGCATCCGTCCTCGTTACAAGCATGCACGAGAAAGTAGCACACGAGCGGGAGGACGACGGTGATCCCCAGAGCCCCTATAGGTCCCCCGAACTCAAAGTGCGGCTTCGTGGGCGTGACGGCGCGTGGTTTCGGCGTCGATTTGGACGACTTTCGCTTTTGGGGCGAGCGCTTCGTCGACGACGACGACGCGTGAGCGGGCACGCGGGCGCTGGCACGCGGCGCGCTCGGACGTTTACTCGGCGTGCGACGGGTCGCGGGCATCGAGATCGCGCTTCGAGCGTGACGCTGTGAGGGTTGACGAGATAAACTGCAACTAGGCTGTGTACAAGTGTTGGAATTCCACAACGGCATCCTTCAGACATCGCACGAACCCCTCGACGTCCTCTAAATACAGCCAATGTCCACAATTTTGAAAGCAAGTGGATCGGCATTTACGGATCGGCGATACACCACCCAATAGTTCCTCGAGCGCTCGGAAGCCTTCGCGTGGGAAAATTTGAGACTTTTCTCCGTACAGGATTACCGACGGCACGGCAGTCGTTCGGCACACCGAGCGCCAATCCTGATGCGTGTGGTCGTACATCAGCTCGCACAGCGCCTCCGGATCGCATTTCAATGTCTCGTTCTTCAACATTAGTAACACCTGGGGATCCATTTTCTCTGGCTCGTGAATGCAACACGCGGCGTTTCCATCGGCAAACGCCGACATGTCGCTCCGAACCGCACGCGCCAAATTCTCATACGTCTCCGCGTCGTAACACCCCAAAGACCCACACGTCCAACCCGGTCGACGATTTTGTAGTGGGGCCTGATCGACGAATACCGTTCCGGCGATGCGCTTCTCGTCGTCGCCGAAAAGTTGTAGGTAACTCCAAATCACCGCGCTGCCCATCGAGCACCCAACCAGGATGTACCCTTTAGTTGACTGCGTCCCTGACACGGCATCTGCGTCCAAGATCTCTCGCAGATCCATTGCCAAGCGCGCGACGGTGCACCCACGCCCGCGAGGCGACGCCGAGTCACCGTGTCCGCGCTGGTCGTACGTCAATAAATTTGCTTCGACTAATTCGAGTGTCTCCATCGCGGGGTCAAAGTATCGCGACGACCCGCTCCAACCGTGAATGAGGACGATCGTGGGGCGAGAGGGGGAGTCGTCCTTCTTTGTGCATCGACCGACGAGCTCGACGCCGTCGGACGTGACGTGGTGGAAATCGTTGAGAGGCATGACTGGCCACAGTGTGAGGCGGTGAAGCGGACCTTCGCGCCTAATAATGAATCTATGAATAACAAGGAAGTGAGATTATCGTGATCGTTTCGCGTGATGAGAAGCTCAATTCGGGCAGTTCATGGACCAGTGTCCGGCCTCGCCGCACTTGAAGCAATTACCCTGCTGGCCGCCAACGCCTTCATCACGTTCAGCGCGTGAGCGTCTTCGCCCAGCCGCGCCGCCACGGCCGCCGCGACCGCGACCACCGCGCCCGTATCCGTCCGCCACTGGCGGCGGATTCGGTCGTCGAGCTGGCGACTCGCGAGCGGGTGGATGGTCCTCAGCTTGACACGCGCGCAGTAGGTTTTGAAACTCGGCATCGCAAAATATGCACCCACTCCATCGTTGCATGTGTTGGTACCCAACTGGGAGGTACAAGGTGGAGAATTTGAACGTCAGTAGACGTCCTTGGCATCGTCCGCACCCTTCTTGCTCGATTTTGATATCTCGTGTGCAGCTCGGCATCGCAATTCGACTCATGCAGTGCGGGACTGCGCACGAGGCGATGAAACTCTTCGAATTGCGCACGCCCGGAGCTGATCGCAGCGTCGACTCTCCTTGGCAGCTCGGACACGTGTCCCGGATGACACCAATGAGATCACCGAACGCGTCGGCGCCGTTTCCGTTTATATCATTCCCAGGTGGCATCGGTCGATGACCTACTCCATTCGCGGCGTTGTCCTGCCCATTCATGAATGCGCCTACGGTGGTCGTCAGAGTGAGTCCATCTGCGGCGACTCGATCGTACGCATCCAACATGGCTTGCAGGTGCGCGCGTAAGCCAGCGTTAGGGTCTAGTCGATTCTTTGCCACCGCATCAACATCCGCCTCCATTTTCGCTCGTTTCGTCGGTAGCCACATGTCGGCGACTCCCATTCTGTCATACGCCAGAACGAGCGCCTCGCCAAGTTGTGTGGGCGTCAATCTATTATCGCCAACCTTGCGCGCGTACCCTCTCTCCCCTACTACTTTTTCTATGTGCTGCGCCTGCGTGGCGTCCGTTCCAATCATATGCGACTCCATGAGCGATAGTAAATCGACCTCGCTGAGATAATCCGGCGGCCTCGTCTGGCCCTCGTGCAAACTCAGAGCGGGCACAAACTGTTCACCAGGAGTGTACAAAGGGAGCGTGCTGTTGCCCCAGTTATCGTACGCGGGCGCCAATCGCGGGCCTTCTGGTGGTCCAGGACCGTAGATATCCAAATAATTACGCTCGCGAATCATCACGCCCGTGGCTCGAAACGTCTCTCCCGCGACCACAATGTCGACATGCGTCTTCATAGCGATTGCTGGGTGCGAACACGTCGCCAAGAAATGTCGAACGACAAACTCGTAGACCTTCGGTGCGTGCTGATTTTTCGCTCGCATCTGTTGATATTGCGCTTCGGAGGCCAGCTTTGTGGGATAAATCGGAGGGTGCGCCTTATCATCCTTCCCACCGCCCGGAGGTTGTCTAAACCTCCCTCCGTTAATCAACTGATCAACGTAAAAGCCAAACTGTGGATGCGGATGAAGATCTCGAAGGGTGCCGTCGTAATTGAAATCGGCAGGAAACTTGTCTGTCTCCGTGCGCGGATAGGAGATGAAACCGTCGTTGTACAGGTCTTCGGCGATCTTCATGATTTGTTCCGGCGAAATGCGCAGCGTTCTGTTCAAACGCTTTTGCATTTCGATTGTGTTCAACGGATGCGGAGGCCATCGTCTACTCTCTTGACCGTCCACATCGATCACTGTCGCGACATTAGCGCGCGCACACATGTTGTGCAGAGCGGACGCGAAGCCACGATCGAAAAGTCGACCGCGACTCCACTCAAACTTCGTGTTTGTTCCCTCCCTCGCGTGCGAACACTTGATGGACCAAAAGTCTTCACTCACGTGCGCATCGATGTCCCACTTCCTCTGCACGATGAATCCAAGCGTGGGGAACTGACACGGCCCATACGACACGATCGACTTCCCCTTATCATCCACGGGCAACCCCACGCCCGCACGCTGGAGCGCCAACGTGTTGAATCGTGTGAACGCGGCACCCAGTCTCAGATCCAACTCCATGCGCATATCCACAGCCTTGGCCTCGTACTCGTTCGGCTGCACCAAATTAGCCAATGCCCTATCGGCGTCACCGCGACCGAGCGCGGAGAACCGCGCGCGTAACGCCGTGATCCCCGGTTTCGCCTGTCGACACGCCTCCAGCACCTCAAACGCGATGTTCTCGCCCTCCCGATCGCAATCCAACCACAAAATAACCGTATCGCACCCCCTCGCCTCTCGCTTCACATTCTCCGCCGTCTTCCGTTTATCCTCCGGCACCCGCTTCACCACGCGCGCGTCCACCAAGAGCTCTCTCGGATCGACGCTCGCCCACCTTCGATGTCGTTCCTCCGCGAATTCAAAATTACTCAGGTGTCCCGTCACCGACGTGAACACCATCGTCACCGGTCGCCCTCGGACGACGTGTTCGAACTCCCACACCTTGTTCCACGCCGTCGCGCCCTCGCGCACGCGCGCGGTGCCGTTCGAGAGCACGCGAGAGATCTCTTTCGCGACGGATGGTTTCTCAGCCACATTCAGGACGCGCGCGTTCGGCGGCATCGTCGACGCGACGCGCGCGTTCGTCAACCCGCGCGCGACTCGCGCGTTTTCGTCTTCACCGCCGCGGCATCGCGCGCCGTCCGCGCGTCGTGGGGTGCCGTCGAGGTAACGTCGCACGAGCGTCGGTGCTTGTGAGCTTTTTTTCGAATTGGTTTTGTTTTCATCGTCTCGACGCGTCACGCGCCGACGCGCGCGCTCGCGCGAGGGGACGATGCGGAACGACGATATCGTCCGCCGCGCGCGCTCGGACGGGCGCGCGTACCGCGACGGCGACGAGAATGGGAGCGAAGATGGAGTGAAATCAGCATCGAGTCGCGAGCGTTCGGATGCTTCGACGAGCGTGACGCGACGCACCGCGTGGTTCGCGTCGCTCTTGGGGCGCGAGACCGCGCGCGGGCGTCTCGAACGTCGCGCGGCGTACGAGCGACGACGCGCGGAGGCGATTCGAGCGAATGGGGCGCGCGTGGAGGCGAGCGAGAGCGTTCGCGCCGTCGCGATGGACGTCGAGCGCTTGCCGAGCGACGATCCCACGGCGCGATCGGTGACGATGGTGGAGGCGTTGAAACGGATTCTGGTGACGCACGCGATCGGGACGAGACGGGGGTATCGGCAGGGAATGCACGAGGTTGCGTCGGCGGTGCTGTTGTGTTGCGCGAGCGCGGCGGAGTACTCGGCGGCGCCAAAGGGAACGGGACGGTGGGAGGACGGCGATTCGGAATCGATGGCGTTCGTCGATGTGGATCACGGCGAGGATAAAGACGCCGAGGCGGCGGGGGAGAGGGATTATAGGTTTGTCGAGCACGACGCGTTTGCCGCGTTCGTGGCGCTCATGGGCGACGCGAGCGACCGCGAGTCGGACGGGCGCCTCATCTTGGCGGCGTATTACGAGGACGCGTCGACGCCCACGTCACCGATAAGCGAGGCGTTTCGAAGGATAAACAACGCCCTACGATCGGTGGACGCGGCTTTAGCGAAAAAATTGCGAGACTTGGAAGTCGAGCCCCAACTGTATCTACTTCGATGGCTTCGGCTCGCGTACGGACGAGAGTTCCATCGAAGCGATGTCCTCGAGCTGTGGGATGCCATTTTCGAGTGTTTGCCGGGCGTCACGTCGGACGGAGAGACGATTTCGAGTCGCGACGTGTACGAAGGGATGGCGGTGAGCGTCTTGATCTCGATGCGAAACGAGCTGTTGAGCGCCGAGGACTTCGGCACGGCGATGAGTCAGTTGCAGCAGGTACCTCAGGGGATCCATATGCGCCATATGATCGCGAGATCGAAGGCGATCGCGATGACTGGGCAGTTGAAAGAGAATGGCCCGGAAAACATCCTGACCTGGACGAAGTCCTCGAGAAAGCACGCTCGTCAATCGACGACGGTGAAGAATCGTCTCGTCGTTCCAGGCATCGCCGGTAAGTCGATGTCCACCTCGCAGAGCAATGATGTGGACAGTCTCGATGTCGAGGCCTCCGCGAACGAAGAGAGTTCATCGGTATCATTTGATCTCGAGGCTTCGTATGAGTCCCAGGCGCGACGAGAGGAGAAGATTTCGAAGCCTTATCGACGCGTCGAGTCGCTCACGCTCAGTGTCCCGGCGCCGGTATCGATGACGCGCACCCGTCGCCCTTCCAGACGCGATGTCGAAGGCCTTGAACTCGACTCCGACCCGTTCACGGCACCAATCTTTGGTGCGGTATCGAGACAGGACCCCGATCGGACGACGAACACCGACGTCGCCGCCTCCCGAGAAGCCGCCATGCGCCATCTTCGAGCCGCCCTGGACGCTCTCTCGCGCGCCTCATCCTCCGGCGACGTCGATGCCGGCGTCGCCGCGCTCCAGATCGACACCGCCCTCGGCCGTTTGAGTGATTAATATCTACGTCATCATCCTCGCGCCGATCGCGCGTCCTCGAACCGCGTCTCCGCCGTCCTCCGTCGCGCCTCCGCGTCCGCGAACAGTAAAATCTTCCAGGGGAAAGAACGTACCGCCACGTGGCGCGAGCCGCGGCCCCACATCGACCGGCGCGGCGCCCCTCGCGCGCGCGCGCGCATCGCGAACGCGCGGCGACGCGAACGCGAAACCTTCGATCGATCGATCGCCAGCGAGCGCGCGTCGAGCGTCGTCGGCGTCGTCGAACGGGTGAGAATTCTCGCCGCGTGAGAAATCTTCGCGGAACTCGTTCGAATCGTCGGAACTTCGACCGGACGACTCGCGATGGCGGAGACGTCGGATAAGGCGGTGATCCTGGACGATTCCACGGTCTTGTCCAAGGGACGGCGAACGGGATGGACGCTGTTCGGGCTGTCGGTGCTCATGGGGACGTTTTGTTTGGCGCTCATGGCGACGTTCGCCGCCGAGCTGGCGAAGACGGTGGGCGACGGAGGATGCCCGAAGTACTCGGACTCGGATTTGCTCAAGGAAAATTGGTGCAAGTGTGGGACGAGTAGTGGGAACCCGCCGAGCGTCGGTCCGTGCAATATCGGGGGAACCGTCGAGTTTTTTGCGGACACGTACACGGCGAATGCGTGCCCGAACGCGTGCTCGGGCGCGTGTAACGCAGACTCTTCGCAAGTTAGTGACAGCGACGCTGTTGCGTCTTGGAAAGCAATGCTCACTCGGTTTGACAAGTGCAGGTCTAACGTTAAAAAAGTTCGTGAGTGCCTGCCGACTGAGGATACCGACGGGCAGTTGGCAAACTACCGTGGACCAAAGTTCGCGCACCCGTCACTCTCCTTGTCGGCCACGTCGGCTTTCATCCAACGCGACGCCTTCTTGGACGCGTGCGACGCTCAGGCGACATATGTCGATCGCCGTGAACGAGGTGGCGTCGGTGTTCTCGCTATGATTTGTCTCGCGCTCGTGACTTGGATCGTCACGTCGCTATACGTGCTCCGTAAACCAAACTACGCCAGGTATCCTCGGGAAACCATCATGCAGCCGCTGACGAAAATCGGTGAGAAATTTTCATTCAACCATCGATACCATCCTGATTCCATGTGGCTCTGGTACTCCTCTTTCATGGGTCTTTTCGGAGTCGCTGTGCAGTTGTACTCGTTCTACACACCGACGACGACGGATATTCGCATCCCCATCGTTCAAGGCGTTTGGGTCACTGTGGAGATCGTCACGCGAGGTTTTCTCTTACTGCTCGATAAGTTCACGGTGCTTCAAGCCAGCTCCATCTTCTTCGATATCGGCTTCGCTGGCATCGGTTTCAGCGCTCTGATGGAACCTTTCTTTGAGCCAAAGATAACAACGAAACTTCCCGAGGTGGATGAATCCGTCACCGATTACGCGTTGGCCATTCGCGTTCTCTCGTTCGTGTATCCGCTCATCATGTCCGCGAAACAGGTTAAAGACCTTTATGTTGATAACTACTGGCCAGCACCGGCGACAGCACACGCTATGGCGGAGAAGAAGCGCTCGTTCAAGCGCACCGTCATCAAGCTCGTGCTGTTGGGCCTTCAGCTCGGCGCCGCCAGTTCTGTATACGGTATTATGGGCGATAAGACTCTCTGTCACCAGTTCCGCACGTGCGCGCGAACGACCTGCGAACCAAACATTCCCCATGGCGCTCCTCTCGATGGCCTTCTCATCAACGGTAACAAGGGATACCGTCAAGAAATGATCTCTGAAGACGGCATTGAGAAGTGGCGTTGGGGTATCAACTCTCAGACCAAGTTGAAATTTGTGAAATCCAGCGGTAAACTCTACGCCGACGTGGAGTTTGCCGTCCCGAACGGAGCGATTGAGAACGACGTGAGCAATCCTGGTGGGAATGGCGCAAGTGGATCTGTTGGTGGATATACAGCGCCGACGCAGTCGTGCGGTACTCGCTTCGAAATTCAGTGCCAAGAAGTGAATCCTCGCCATGCCTTTGAAGAACTCACTGGCACGTACGAATGGGTCAAGTATAACACGTCTTCTTACAAGCTCGTTGCGACGCACGATTATGAACAAACATCTGGCGACCCATCGTGCTTCAGCAGTAGCACGCCGTGGGGACCAACAAACGCAATGTTCATGGCGTCCAACTCCATGCGTGTCGGCGGTACCGTCGCGAATCCGGATCTCGGTTACGTTCTCGAAGAGAATTCGTGCGATGAGGGTGGCTCGTACTCTGAGTACTGCCTGATTCAGCCGCCTTACGTCGCAGTCTACGCAGCTTACGGACGCTCAACCGTGCCGTCTGGTTCTCTCACGTTGGGAGCGTCTTCGTTGTCCAGTGTCTCAAGCAACTGGTACACATCAACGAGCTCGTTCAATCTCAATCTAGATAAAAATTTGGTCGTCGCCCTTGGCAGCTCTTCGTCTTCCGGCGGTTCCAACACCGGCGGTTCCAACACCGGCGGTTCCAACACCGGCGGTTCCAACACCGGCGGTTCCAACACCGGCGGTTCCAACACCGGCGGTTCCAACACTGGCGGTGGCGGGGGTGGTTGCACGCCGCCGCCGTGCTCGTGCACAGGCTCCAATTGCCCGGGGCCCTCGTGCTCGGGCACGTGCACCTGCACCGCGTGGACGTGTCCTTCTGGCTGTTCTTCTTGCCCGCCTCGCAAACAGTGCGAGAACGGCTCCCCCACCGCCATCGTGACCAGTGGGTCGTGCACTGGGATGCAGCCGTGACCATCGCACCGAGTGTGCTTTCGCTCAATAAAACTATCCAACCAAGCAGTCCGCGCGTGCGGCGTGAAACGTCTTCCAAGCACTCCGGGCGCGGCGTGTATGAACATATTATCCCCACCGCACTCCCCGCCCCCGATGTCCCGCGCGCGCGCCCCCGACGCGGTGACCCTCAACGAGACCCGCGAGGACGCCGCGCGCGCCGTCGGTGCCCTCTTCGCCGCCGCAGCGACGCGCACGCGCGGTGCCTCCATCAAGGCGCGCACGCTCGCGCCACACGTTCGACACAAGCGCGCGACGCACGCGGTGACGTGCGAGACGATCAAACACGCTCGAACGATTAAAAGCGTGTTCGCGGACGCGTGTGAGGATTTGCGAGCGCTCGTGGACGAAGACGCGGGCGAGAGCGAGGGAAAGGAGACGTTTCGACGACGCGGCGAGGCGTACGTCTACGCGTACGAGACGCTCTTCGGAAACGGACGAGGATTGGAGCGATGGGAGGGAGGTGAGGGGTGCGCGATCGCTCGGGAGAACGAGGAGGCGATGCGAGAGGCGTTGAAGCGGGAGATGACACTGAGAGGGGTGTCGAGCGCGAAGGCGCTTTCGGAACTCGTGGTCGAGGCGAGCGAAGGCGCGAGCGTTCGATATTCGCGCACGGCGCGAGTGAACACGCTGAAGATGACGGTGAAAGATGCGTTGGAGGTGTTTAGGGGCGATGGGTTCGAGTGTGACGTGGACGCGCTGATCGATACGTTGTTGGTATTCCCTGCGGGGACGGATTTGCACGCGCATCGCTTGGTGAAGAGCGGCGGGGTGGTGCTCCAAGGACGGGCGAGTTGCTTGCCCGCGGCCGCGCTCGCCCCGGAGCGCGGATGGGCGTGTATCGACGGATGCGCGGCGCCGGGGAACAAGACCACGCAGCTCGCTGCGATGGTCGGAAGAGAGGGAGGTGTGTACGCGTTTGACGCCGACGCGAAGCGGTTAAAGCGACTGAAAGAGAACGCGACGACCACGGGAAGTCACGCGATCATTCGGGCGAAGTGTCAGGATTTCCTCACGGTTGATCCAGCGAATCAGCAGTACGCGAGCGTTCGTGCGCTCTTGCTCGATCCCTCGTGCTCGGGATCGGGCACTGAGGTGAACAGAGGAGACATAATGCTTCGAGAGGCGTTGTGCGATGACAACGATGATGAGAACGAAGTCGACGCGGCGGACCACGATCGCGTCGAGAAGCTCGCAGCGTTTCAGAAGAAGGCGTTGACGCACGCTTTTAACTTTCCAGAGGTCCAGCGCGTGTCGTACAGCACGTGCAGTGTGTATGAAAAGGAGAATGAGGAAGTTGTCCGTGACGTAATGGGCGCCGCGAACGAGCGCGGCTTCAAACTAGTGCACGCCCTTCCCGCGTGGCATCGCAGAGGCATAGCTATTGATGGACTGTCGGAATCCCAAGCGCGCTGTCTCATTCGAGCGGATCCGACTGAAGACGATATGGAAGGCTTCTTTGTCGCAGTTTTCGAGCGAGACGTCGAGCGGACACGTAGCAAAGGATGCGAGCTTCCCCCGTCGAATCCGAACGCTGCCGCGGCGAAAGCGGAGTCCGAGCGCGACAAAAAGAAGAGGTCCATGAAACACGCGACGATCGCGCAACCTGTGTACGCGAAAAAGAAGTCAAAGGGAGGAAAGCCGGCGCCACTATTTCGGTGACGGTAGTTAGTTGTTGTACTTGTAGTCTACGGTAGAATAGATCAATTTCTTAGAGATGATTCGAGCCATCGAGCGGGAGAATAAATTACGCGGAATCTTCCTCCCACGTGAGCGCCTCCTTGACGTACTTCACGCCGAGCGCGACGGAGGTGAGCGCGATCGGAGCGGCGCCCGCTTGCCACGACATATCCGGGGCGTACGCGACGCCGCGCGCCATGAGCGCCGCCGCGAGCGGAATGGACCCGATCGCGAGCAACTCACCGTTCACAACCTTGGTGATACGATTCGCGAGCTTCTCGCTCATCGGCTCCACCTCACCCTTGGCCTTGGCCGCCGCGCGCTGAATAATCTTAATCGTCGGAAACAACGAGCTCGACCCCATGACGGTGAACAACCACATCTTCACCCAAAAGATGGGCTCGTGCGCGTAGAACTCCCACCCCTTACCGTACTCCGTCGCCCGCAGATACCCGGTGTACAGCACGAGGACGCCCGCGATTCCGTACACGCTATCCGCGATCACCAAGCGTTGCTCCTCGTCCTCGCTCATGTTCGCCTTCACCGTCAATCGCTCCGTCGTCAACGCACCGACGACCAAGACGAGACCGAGATAGTGTCCGTACGCCGCAAACGCGCTCGCCACCGGGTCCACCGCCGCCTCCGCCGCGCCCGCGGCGCACATCCCGAGCACCGCCGGGGCGATCGCCACCGTTTTCTTCATCGTCGTCGCGTCATCGGTCGAGACGACGCCCTCTCGAGCGCGCGCGCGCCGCGACTCGGTCGTCGCGCGCGCGAGGGCGACGCGACGAACCGTCTTCGACGCCGCGGTCGATCGCGCGACGCGCGCGGGGGCGAGCGCGCGCATGGCGTGCGCGCGCATGGCGACGTGGTGTGACGTCACGCCGCACCGCGCGTCACAGAACCCCCGTCCGAGGGCGCGGGAGGACCACCGACGCGCGCGCGAGGGGCGCCGGCGCGGCGGGACGACGCGCCGGGGTCGACGTCGGCGCGCGCGGGCGCGGCGAGGCGCTCGAGGCGCGGGCGCGGGTGGATAACGCGCGCGATGGGTGGAGAGGGTGCGGTGGGCGCGCGCGCGGTGACGATCTCGGGGGCGACGACGGCGCCCGTGGGGGCGTTGATCGTGATCCCAGGGCTCACCGATGGGCCGGAGTCGTTGGCGTACGGCGCGAGCGAGGGTTCGGCGCTCTCGCGGGCGTGCGAGGAGCGACGCTGGGCGTTGGTTCGGTTTGAGCTGTCGTCGAGCTACGATCGGTACGGGACGTGCACGCTGGACGATGACGCCAGAGATATCGACGCGGTGATCGCGCACGTGATGTCAACGAGGCCGAGCGCGCGGGAGATCGCGCTCTTGGGGCACTCGACGGGGTGTCAGAGCATTTGTCACTTTATTGCGCGCGGGTACGAGACGTCGAAAGCGGTGAAGCGCGTCGTGCTTCAAGCGGGTGTCTCGGATCGGGATTGGTACGAAAAGGACGCGGGACGCGAGGCCATGGCACAGGCGATCGAGCGAGCGGAAGCGATGGCACCGGATGAGCTGATGCCGAAGGAAACGCCCGGGACGTACGGCGTGGCGACGACTGCTCGGCGATTTCTCTCGCTCGCAAAACCAGGCGGAGACGACGATTGGTTTTCGCTCGACCTCTTCGATGGCACGCGCGAGGACGCGTCGAAGATTCCTAGACTCACCGGTTGCGCGCACGTGGACGTACGATTGGTCGTTTCCACGCTCGATGAGTACGTGCCGTACGACGCGTCCACCGTGTTGGCGCACGCTGAGCGCGTTCGAACAAGCTTTGAGCGCGTATCGAAGAGCGCGCGCGCGCACTTTATCGCCGCCAATCACGATTTGAGCGACATGCGGGAGGAAGATGTGCCGGGATTCGTCGAGTTCGTCTTCACGTGAGCATTGCCCGCTACCGGTGTGTGTAAAATTACTGTTCTGTGTTCTATAGGCGTGGGCGTATCTTTTTCACTTTCTCTTTGCGGGCGTCTTACGCTTCGCTGGCGCCTGCTTTTTGGAGCTCGGTAGCCCTATGTCAAAGAGCTTGTCTGCCTCGACTTCAGCGTCTACCTCGGCCTCGCGCTCAGCCCTGAGCCGCTCGATCTCCTCCGCCGTGTGCTCGTACACGTTTGCACACGGCTCCGGGGCTCTTCTTCGAGGCGATATCGCCTTTTTCTTTTTCGGTGAGTCACTCTTCTCGAACAAACCAACGACGTATTGTTTCTTGAATCGCTTGAAATTCTCCCCGCCGTCGTCCACATCGCGTCTGCTCGCGTTCCCGTCAGCGTCGCGTCTCGTCCGTCCCACCCCAATCGTCACCGTCTCCGCCTCCCCCAGCGTCTCCGTCTGCCCACGTCGTCTATCGCTCCGAGCCATCTCCCCGTCGTCCATCACCATCGTTTTCGGTGCCGCATCCTCCGTTTCGCTCTCATCATCATCATCGCGCTCCGTCTCGCTCCCGTCGTCTTCGAACCGAAATCTAACCGTAATCTCCGTCGCCCCCTTCCCGAGCGTCACCACCCGCTCGCCGTCGTCTCTCCCGCACACGCGCGTCCACGTGGACGTCACCTCGACCACGACGCCGTCGCGCTGCGCGAATCTCGTGCCGTGCGCGCTCCCCAAGTCTCTCGCCTCGCACGCGTCGGCTCTCGTTCGAAACTCCGCGTGTCGCCGGCTCGTCGTCGCGTCGCCGTCGGAACCGGCTCTCAGGGCGCAATCGCGATGTCGACCGACCACAACGCCGGCGCCCTCGCTCGGGACGACGATTTCGCGCGCGCCGTACGCGAGAACGAAGGCCATCGCTCGCGGATTCGCGCGACGCGCGTCGCGCTCTGACGGTCGTCGCGCCACGTTCGCGTCCATCCCTCGTCTCCCGAATCGACGCGCGCGCGCGAAAATAACCCAATCACATCGTTCGCCCGTCGTCGCTCTGCACGATGTGCGCTCCCTTGGACAACGCTTTAAACAGCTCGAACGCCTCGGCGAGCGGTCCGCGCGCGCGCCTCGCCGTGCTCTCGGCGTCCATCGTCCCACCCGTCGCCAACGCCGCGGCTTCGTCGTCGCTCAGCGCGCCATCGCCCCCGATGGATGTATCGATCATATCCGCGTACGCCGACATGGCCTGCGCCTCGGCGTCGAGCCCTAGGCCGGC